AGGAAGTGTCTCAAGCGTCTTGACTCACATGTGGTTTGTAATGCAGATGGCAGCGTTTTTAACAGCCTAAGGCAGAGCACCCATTTTCCCTCTTGATCCCATCTTACAAGCTCCTCCTCTAAGAGCAAATCAAGGTGGGAATGGCCTGGCCTTAGGTCCCAAAGGACAGAGGGCATGGCCTGGACACCCGTTGGTCTACTTTTTTGCAATGATCGCCTTTGAGGCTTGTACTGGTGCACCCTTCCTAGTTTGAAATCTCTTCCTGATAAAGCTCATCCTCTGTCCCACTCACCACCCTTCTCCCCTCCCCTCCTGTTGGCACTTGCACCACCAGGAAGATCAGGGAAATCTCCCCACTATTGGCACTACTAACTGAAGAGTTGATAAAGTCACAGAGATTGTCTTCGGCTGCTTTAAAGCATGAACCTCCTTTCTCTCCATCTCCCAGGTCTGAAAAATTTGTTCAGGGCTCTAGTAATCCTCTGAAGCCTTCAAATCCACCACCTTTGGTGAGCTTAGCAGGAAGAACTGCTCTGAATCCTGTAGCGTGCTAACACGTATACCATGATCTAGTGTAAGAGACGATCTCAAGTCATACACCTTCTTTTCCTGGGACTAGCTGGTATTTTCCACATCAACCTTGTCTTTGTTCTATAGTTTGTCTTCCTAGCCTCTGCTCAAATTGCTCCAGCTACAAGTATGTCCTATCAACTTGGTGCATTAGATTTTTCTCCTCCATTTGTTTTTCTGGACGAGTTCCAAATTTTAGACTCAATTTGAGTGGAGTTGGACTGTTCTCTCATATCACCAAGAGGGAGGTTCCTCTGCAATTGCAGCATTTAGGGTGGCTTTGTATAAATTTTGGCTAGTTCACAAAACACCAGGATAGAAAAACACTGATTGAAGTTTGGCCTGCAGGCTAAGTATATATCCCCACTGGTAGCCATTAAAATTGAATGCCTATGTTTTTACTAAATCTGCTGGGATCTGCTTAATGTGATATAATTCCATATCAAATGTAGCTAAGACCGGAACTACTGTATACTTTAATTGGCAGTTAGATTACACTGTTTAGCCCTCATTTCATATTACCCTTATTTTTTTTTTGAATTGGTTTAATGGCACTTAAATTTTGGAGTGTGTTTTTCTTGCTCACCCCTTATACGGATTTCTAATAGACTTCCTTTGGGCAGTGGGTTCCTGTGTGGTACAGGCCATCACTGTAAGAAATCAGATTACTGGAAAGAAAATTGAGTCACCAGATAAGGTCAAATTTGGACTTGGCAGCTGTGATTAATATTCTTTCAGTTTTGGGGCCCACCTCTGGGTAAACTGAGGAGGACATGGTAGTACCTGATACAGATCCTACAGATCTGGTTCCAGAATAGAGAGAGTAATCCATCCCTTCTCTCTGACAAACTGGCAGAACAAAGAGAGACAGAAAAGACTCTTGTATCAATGCTGCATTAGAAAAGAGGTCTTCGTGAGGATCCTAAGCATTAGAGAATGGTTATTTGATCTAACACTGGCTTAAGTGTCCACAAAAAGAAGATCCTAGGAAGCTCTGATCATGAAAACTCCACTTCTTTCCTGCATTTAAGAAAGGAAAAAAAAAAAAAGTCTTGATCTTTTTTTTTTTTTTTTAATTAGAGAGTGAAAAAGAAGAGGAAGGGAAAACAGGAACAATAGCTGGTGAAATTAAAGCAAATCTGGGATTCGGGTTCCATTAAACATGAAGTTTCTTCCAAAAAAATGGAATGTGTATAGTGATGCCAAGAATTTCATAGGTCCTTAGTGGGATATAAGAAGAGAAGATTTTTCTGAGTTGATTTGTGGAGACTAAGTATGTTAAATGATGTGATATTAATTGACTTACAAACACTCCCCATGAATTAGCCAAGCATTAGTATTTCAGCTTTCCTAATGAGGTAAATAAAGCACGCAGATGCAATACCTTGCTGAAGGCACGAGTACAGAAGGCTGGGATAGAATTATTTTTGACTCCCAATAATTTCCAGTTACCAGATTACTACACTCTTAAAATTTTATCTTCTCAAGACATAAACTTTGTATTTATTGGTTAAAGATGTCTTGAAAAAAAAATCTATATCCGTTCTATTATTTCCTTGGCTTTCACTGAAGTTTTCAGGCTGTTTTACGTTAATCTAGGTTATATTTTAAGCCCCTAGAAACAAGAGACAGAGGCTGACTTAGGAGAAGACAAACAAAAAACCAAACAAAAAAAAACCCCAAAAAACAAAAATCCACCAAAGAGAGAAGATGGAACTGGTACTGTATACCTCAGATTTTTGGGTCAAATATGTTAAGTTTGATGGAAATTAATTAGAAGGTGATTCAGAAACACTGCAGAGCACTCATTTATCCTTCATTGCTATTTTAGAGTGGATCTGATACAAAAAATCCAAACAAAAAGATCGCAAATAAAAATAAACGTAGATCCCCTTACCATTTTTTTTTTTATCAGATCTGCTCAACTCTTTCATACCCCCAGAAATAAGAATTCAAAGTTCAATCATGTATTTACATAGTAGCATGGCTTATTATAAAATCTTTTTGCATTTAGAAGGTCAGGATGCTAGGGTCGCCCTCCCCCCCATTTTTAGCACGATAGAAGGGATCAAAAGGAAGACTACAAAAATAGAAGGGAAGTTCGGAGGTACCCCAGCCATCCATTTGCCTCTGCTGTGAGTCTCATTCAAATTTCTCAACCAACTGACTTGAGTTTTGTTAAGAGAAGCTTTCTAGGCCCTTTGGGTAGGTTGGGACAATCTATGAATCTGTTATCTTTGGCTTGGCGTGATTTCTCTGGGATGCCTGAGCCTCAGAGGGTCAAAGCAGAAAGGATTTAAGGGAAGAAAAAGACAGCCATCAGAAACCAAAGACAATTTTTTCTGTTCCTAGTCTCCCCCTGCCCAAAATGGTACATCTGTGTTCTTCTGAGTGACAGCACATGATGACTGGCAGATCACCCCACCAGTCTTCAGCTAAGTCTGGGGCTGCAACCAGCAAAGCCATCACCTGGGGCTCTGTCAGGGTAAACGGCTACAGTATACAGGGTAGTTCACCAAAGAAAAAACAAAAGAAAGAGCTACAGCTAAAGGCAGCGCTCGTTAGCGTGGCATCTCTTCTGATCATATCATGCCGAGTTAGGTCCTAAGTCCTAAGCTACCTCTGTGTGGCTTTTGTTAAAATAAGAGTCTCAGTGTGGAGATCTCTTTATCCAAACCTAGACCTTGTTCCTCAGGGGGCTCTTGCCTGGAATTAAACCATCATGCTCTAGCCACGTGCAGGAGGCCCATTTCTTTCTCTCTCTTTTTTTTTTTTTTTGCCTTACTCCTCACCTGCACCTCTTGGACAGTGTTCAGTGCCTGGGAATCCAGGAAGGAAGGATGGACAGGATGGAAGAATCTGGTGAGGAAGAGGCTACCTCAAGGCATGGGAATGCCTCTCCTCACCAAGATTCTTTGTGCACACTGGCACCAGGTCTTTGAGGGTCTCAAAACGTAACAAATATGAAACTGACAAAAATAGGGTAAAAATTCCTTAACCTTCAAGTCTCACAAAATCCCAGCAAAGCAGATGACCATCTGCTTCCCGCCTGCTATACATATGCCTTTTCTTATTATGACCTCATATTTATTACAGCTAAGCTGAGAAATTAAAGAATCTCAGCTTATCCCTGGCTCAACCCACTAAACAAATACTCTGTCCAAAAATGAAACATTCAGAGCAGGCTTTAGAAATAGGATGTAATGGAAAATTGAGAACTTTCTTTAAAAAACCAAAATTATTAAATTTTGTTCCATTATGCCAAGACAGACCTAATTTCCCTCAAGTGGACTTTCATTGAATATGCGGACATTTCATATCCCCCACTCACCCCAATAGTGCTGCACCTTATACTGGTTCAGATCACCTTGGGAATATTACCTGGTGAGTTCCCAACTATTTTTATGAGACTGATGCATTCCCCAACAGCAGAAACAGGTTAGCAAATAAGCTTGGACTGGGTGGATTTAAAACATTTCGGGAGTTAAGTCAGTGATAACATGTAGCAAAACAAGAGCTGGGACGGGAGAACAGAAGGCAGGAGATACTGAGGCTCATCACAAAGGCAAGAGGAGAGATGGACGTGTGTATAGAAAGAAGACGTTGGCTGAGTGGTGGAATATGGGGTTGTCTTTTTTGTGGTCCCAGAGTCAAAAAGTGGTCTAATCCAGAACATCTGAATTTCGGTTTCAGAGAAACGTTATCTGTGATTTCAGTACCCCATAGGGACATCGAGTGGGGAGAAGTGAAGCCCAGAATAGAAATAGATTCTTCAGCTAGAAGAGTGGACAGACCCACATTGGGCGGTCGTGTTCATGGCTTATGTCAACCCTGGGGGGTGGGGGAGATGCTTGAAGGTACCATCTCTTCATAGTGTAGGTAATTCTATCCAGACCCTGGCTCACAGAGTATCTTGGCCTAGAGCTCTACCCCTGTGTCTGAAAGCCTGCTGGCATTCTGCCTTCATGGGGATTCAGAGGGAGACACGTGAATTCCCCACCAGAAGAAGAGAGGAGCATCTAAACACAGACCTAGTTAGAACGACTCTCTACCTTGGTTTCTTTTCCTCCTCTACTCTTTTCCCCCATCCCTCCCTCTTTGTTTTGAGGGGATGCCGAAGACCAACAATAGCAAGGGAAACTGGACATAGAGATAAATGTTCTTCTGAGGGGACCTGCAGTACTCCATTTGATCATTCGGTGTATCTCCAACGGTTTCCAGTTTGCTCGGCATTTCTCGAGATGCTGCCATACTTTTTCATCCAAAGAGCAGCACAGGTTTTGAGATCTCAAGGACCCTCTTTTCAAGGGAGAGAGAAGAGACAGAATCTGACACATGGGAAGGGATATCCTGGTCAGCTATTAGAGGGGAGGGGGAAAGTCACATTTATTAAGAGGTGGAAGGAAACAGAAGATTAGGAGTTCCGTGACTTAACAGAAAACTGTCTTTTATTTTCTGGTCTTACTAGAACGGTAAATGCAGGCTCAGGGATAAGAAACCCAATTTCTTGGTCAGGGGAAATTGAATAAGAGCGTTCCTAAGTTCATTGGTTCTAGAAAAAGCCCAGTGGTTGGTCGGGGGACTGCCTCTGCAAGGCTCGATACCACTGCATTCGAGACTCTGGTGCTTGTGTGTGTATGTGAGTTTAAGGAGTTCAGGGAGAGTTCCTGGCACAGTAAATTTAGTGTTCATAATGTGGTTTACAGGCAAATCCCATTTCTGGTGATTGCTCTGCCAGGCTAAATTCCTCCTCCTGTTGAGATGGCAGACGAGATCAATTCTTTTTCTCACACCACAGTGCAAGAGGCTTGCTTGCTGACTCAGAGCGGCTGTCCTGGAGTAGGCCTGTCCCTAGGGGAAGCTGCATTTCTGAGGGGGAAGAAAGCAAATTTGTGCACAGAAAACAGCCCACTGCAGCACTTTGGCATGAAATGACTGGGCAGAGGAAACCTTTCAAACATTACAAGACCCAGCGTCTGAGTCTTCCGTAAAGGGGGGCACGCCTGTTCAGATCAGGGTGTGACATAGTCACGTTCACAGGGGCAGCTACTCCCGAGCACACAAGTGGTGAGCAGGAGAGCGCAGTGAAAACGGACATTAGGTCGGGGAGGAGGCGGCTTCTGTTCTGCCTCCGTGGTCTCCTGCCCTGGGCCTACTTTGATGTGGGGGCTGCCTGGGGGTCATGAAGCTCCAGCAGTATCTAAAAGAGAAGGCAGGGCCGTGAGCAATGATTCTGCAGCCCCACAGTTGTATTTGGCTTTTCAGGGTAGATGCAACTATGCCTTAGTTCTATTTCAACCAAAACAGACAAAAAACCAGAAGTCAAAAGAGGCTCCTTCTAAGAAAAATAACAGCCCCTCGCTTCTCCTCCCCAAGAGGTGGAGGCTGGCTTGGCTGGAGGAGGATGGAGAAAGTGTTCAGCCACGGGGATCTCGGGCCAGGGGAGGGGCCTGTGAGGCCAGCTCGGCCTGCCTGCTCGTGGCTGTGAAGGGAACGCCTGCCTGGCACCCTTCTCCAGCAGGCCCTTCCAGCCCCTGGGAGGAGAGAAGGGAGGAAGTTGAGGGGATGGGACATTTCCACCAGATAGAGGGAGTGATGTGCTTCCCCAAGTGGACAGTCGATACAAGGCGAGGACTGATTAGTCAAGGAAGTCTCTCTCTTTCTCCATGCTTCTGAGTTTGGGGGGGGTGGTGGTTAAGAATGACACAGTGGCCTGAGGCCGTCTTCTGCCCAGCTCCTACCCTGGGGAGAGAAAAAGCCTCGTCCCGGCCCCAGGGAGTACGCAGGGCCATGGGGAACCCCCGTCTCATGACACTGTGTGATGAGGTCGCATCAGAGTCTCCGTGGCTAGGAGGAGCAGCCCAGGTCTCAGCTGAGGTATATTTACTAATCATCTTCAAAGTGTCAGGACAAACTGACCCTCACTTCACCAACTAGCTGCGGAAGGGGCCCTCCTCCCAGGAGGTCCTCAGTGAACTCAGCCTGACTCTCTCATGGAAGTTTCACATTTCGGTCTGGCCGCCTTTCCTCTCGCTCTAGAAGTCTCTACTCAGTGATGGAGGGCCCACCTTGGGTATGTGTGCACTACCATCTCAGGGAGTGGCAGGGAAGCCTGGGCCTCTGGCTCGGGGCCTCGCTGCTTGGCAGAAAGGCCCACTGCCTCCTGGCCCAGAGTCTACCTTGACATTCGGTCCTATGTGCTGGTTCCAGATTCTTCTCTACTGGATGGAAAACAGACTCTGCCTTAAGTGCCCCCCACCACCAGGGATCCCTTAGGACCAGCATTTGCAGGGCTAAGGCCTGGCGGAGTCCTGGCTGGACTTCTGCTCACACCGGCTAGTGCTCTGGCACAGGGGTTGTTAAATGCTTTCCAAATATACCCTTCCCGGAGCCTCAGTGGAGCTTGAGGGCCGTCCCTGGCCTATCCTAACCCAGCACCTACTGATGAGGTGACAGGCTTCAAAGAGACGGCACTGTCCCTCCCCGCACCCCCCCCATTCCCTCCATCTCTTTGAGCCTCTCCCCTGGGGTGCGGCTGCCTGACTATGGCTTTGCTCACCCAGACCAGCCCTCGCTGCTGCTGCCAGAGCACCCTGACCCCTTCTGCCACTTCAGCTTTTCCTTTTTGGCCTCCGACCCCTGGCATCCAACACTCCCGCACTTAGCCTGCACTTCTCTGGGGGAAGCGAGCCGGAGGGGAGTGTGCAGGAGATGCTCTTGTGGTTGCCCTCCCTGGCAGGGGGGCTGGCCGGGGAGCAAGAGCTGCTGAGGGAGGGGACCCCTCTGCTGGGGTCTCCACGACTCCATAGCGAAGAGCCAGAAAGTCTTCCAGGCTTTTCAGGGCAAGGGGTGTAGACACAGGCCAGCTCCATCCCTCCGCGGCTGAGCTGACAGCAAAGGGGGAAGGGGCAAGGGGAAGCAAAGCCATCCTCACGTCCCTCCTGCCACGGGAAGCCCCCTGCGCCTTCTCAAATTTCCTGTCCCCAGCAAAGAGGCAGCACACGGGCAGGGCCCATCTTGCAAAGGGAAGTAAAGCAATGGGGCGGGTGCCCCTGGTTTTCCTGGTGTCCCTTGGTTCCTCTCGTCTGATGATGCACGGTGTCCTCCCATCTTCCTCCCCCCCGGGCAGCACTGGCTTCCCAACTCGGTGGAGAGAAGAGCATGCATCGGAGGGGGGAGCAGCCTCTAGCACTTGTCGTCTTCTTCCGTGTCACTCAGGAGGTCGCTGACAGCCCCACACATGACGCCGGGCCCAGGCCCCCCGCGCCGCCACCGCCGATAGTGCCCGTTGGGCATCTGCCAGCCATGCCTCAGCGGCGGCGCCGAGCCAATGGTGTTGGAGCGGCCCAGGCTGGTGGCCACGGCGGCTTCGAAGGTGAGCGTCTCCTCCTCGCCACAGTCCGAGGCGTGGGAGTCTTCGTGCAGGGCCAGGTAGGGCTCGGAGATGTAGCGCTGGGGGGAGCAGTGCTGGCCCTGCTGGCCGAGCCGGGAGCCGGGAGCCTCCACCAGGCCGGCCTCCGTGCTCTCCAGCGCCTGGGAGGTGAGCGGGGAGCCGCCCTCGCTTCCGTCAGCCGGCGGCGGGGAGATGCTCCCGGTGTGGTGCAGCAGGGAGCTGTAGGAAAGGAGGGGCCGCGGCTTTGGGGGAACAGGTGGGAGCTGCCGGCGACTTCGTCTTGGGGTGCTGGTGTCAGAGATGGAGGGGATGGAGCTTTCACTCAGGGAACCTGTGCCCTGTGCAGCGGGACAAACAAGGCAGGTTAGGCCGCGCCTGGCCTGATCCCTAAGTGGGGCCTGGGTAAGGTCCCCAACCCTCCCTCCAGAGAGTCCTTGGAGCCTGGGGGAGGGAGATCTGAGCTGGGGGGTCTCCTCCGCTTAGGAAGGGAGGGACTAAAGGAGACGGAGGAGTCTCCACCGTGGAGACCAGGGCAAGCAGGCTCAGCAGGTCTGGGGTGGGGTCTGAGACTCTGCATTTCTATCACGCTCCCAGGTGCGGCTGGACCATGGAGCATACACTTAGAGGAGCAAGGATCTGGAAGCTCAAAAAATGTTAACAGGGGGCACACGGAAAGAAAGCCTTGCAACCTCGAAGGAAGACAGCTACATGCAAGGTGAATGGATGCTAAGGGGTCGCTGTCTGGGAAACCTTCCCTGGGAAGTGGATCTGAGAGAATGGCAACTTCCTTCCCTCATCTTCATTCTTTGCCTTCATGTCTTCAGTGGCTGGTTGAGCTTAACTCAGCTTCTATACCCACATGCTCAGCTGCTGCTTCAGGCCTTACTTGATCTACTCACCTAGACCCAAGGGTCCCTGAGCCCGGCACTGGTAACGAACCACCTGCTCAGAAGTTCCTGGGGAAGTAGGGGTCCTTTCAACTTTCTGCTTTTCCCTTTCTAGCTGGTCTCACTACTGAAGCAAGCAGAGCCCTCTAGGTCCCTGGAATATGCAGTTCTAACAAGCTTTCGTGATTCTGTTCACTAAAATTTGAAAGCCACTGCTCTAGAAGAAACTTCTTAACTGCCTCTAAAGTCTACTGTAGCAGACTGTCCCCTTCCCCTCTGCTCACTGCTGGTGAGGGGTCTCCCATCTGGGCTCCCACAGCCTTAAACAGAGTTCAGGCTGGGAGTGAGGAGGAAAGCGGGAGTCAAGAGAATGTTTTCACACAGCTCGGGTAGTGATTTCTTAGGCAGGGGCTGGAAGGAGAATGGGGTCTTCCTTTTGGGATGGCTGGAAGCTAGGTAAATGAGGTTGAACTGATCCAAATGATAAATCCTGTGCTGAGAGATGAATCATCCCTGTAACTAAGGATCATGCAACTGGTCAAAGAAACTTTTCTGGCTAGAGGTGATCCTTTCCTCCTAAATCTGGCTGAGACTTCTGTGAACTTACTTGTGACTTTGTACCTCTGGGTTCTGAGGACTGAGATGGAATGACTTCTAGATACCGTTGTCTTTCTTGGGGGAGCTATCTGGTTTTCTGAGTACACAAGCATGAAGTAGCCAACTTCCACGCACAATGGGTAGAGTTTGCTGTGACACCAAGGTGTCACATTTTGTCACATACCGGATGCCCACATTTTGCACCTAATGTTAGCAGACCACCCCTCCGTTTCTTTCTACAGGGGCTCCACTTCGTCTCCAGGCTCACCTGTCTGTTGGGGGTCTGTGACCGGCCCTCACTGGGAGACCTGGACTGCTGGCGCTCCGGGGACTCCCAGTCGGCCTGGGTCCCTCGCTCCTCTGAGTTGCAGCGGGAGACATCGGGAGAGAGAAGATGCTTTCGCTCTTTCGACCGTCCCCGCTCTCTGCCCCCTGAGCGGTGGGTGTCAGACTTGTGGCCTGGGAGAGATGACAAAAGCACGTGATCACAACTCTACACATACTGGCCTCTGAACATAAAGAGATGTCATAGAGCCTGGGAGGGACTGGGCCCCTGAGGAATACTAGCTTCTCCAGGCATGTCAACAGGTGATCTGAAAGGGAGGCAGGAGGGAAAGGTTAGAAAATTACCCTTTTGTGAAGAGGAAAGTGTGCAAGTTGCCATTGGAAAGACACACATGTCAAAGGATGCACTTGATTCTCTTCTGCTTCTGTTTATGCTAAAACACAATTAAGACAGAATCTTTGCCAACAATATGGCCCAGGAATTCTCTATGTCCTAAACACAGGTGTGGCATCAGTAAAGGGATGGAGGTCAAAGGGTTTCAGTCCATTGAGGACTTCTAGTCCCATTTTTGCCACTTACTGGCCCTATGCTAGAGGCATGTCACTGCTTTGTGATCTGTTTCCTCATCTAGTAAAATAGAAACCATTAGAAAATCATGAGAATGCTTCGAACTCTATCAGTATGACCCTTTTCCTTAAAAAAGACAAACAAAACTCAAAAACCTAAAAAAATTCCAGGTAGGGGGCGCCTGGGTGGCTCAGTTGGTTAAACGACTGCCTTCGGCTCAGGTCATGATCCCACAGTCCTGGGATCGAGTCCCACATGGGGCTCCCTGCTCAGCGGGGAGTCTGCTGCTCCCTCTGACCCTCCTCCCTCTCGTGCTATCTCTCATTCTCTCTCACTCAAATAAATAAATGAAATCTTTAAAAAAAAAAAAAAAATTCCAGGTAGCACTACTGGGGTTGAAGTGGAGTTGGCGGTAAGAGCCCAGCCCCTGCCAGGAATGTGTTAGAGAGACCCCCTAAGGCAGGGCACCTGGGTGGCTCAGTGGGTTAAGCGGCTGCTTTCAGGTCAGGTCATGATCCTGGGGTCCTGGGATCGAGCCCCACATTGGGCTCCCTGCTCAGCAGAGAGCCTGCTTCTCCCTCCTGCTCTACCTACTTGTGCTGTCATCAAATAAATAAATAAAAATCTTTAATAATAAAAAAAAGAAACCCCCTAAGGAACCTCAGTGGTTTTGCAGAAGGTTATTTGAAAATCTCAATTTTTTAAATTATTGAAGTATAATTAAAATAGAAGATTATATTAGTTTCAGGTGTAAAACGTAATTGATTCAACGGTTCTATACATTTTAATGACTTCTATAGCCCTACTCTGAAAGAAAGAAATTTCAGCCTTTATGATGAATATAGAAGACTTTGTTTCAGGATAAATCAGATAGGGAACTCTTTCCTGGTGACAAGTGTTCTTTCTTCCCTTGCTCTCCTCAACCTGTATCCTTATCTGAATCCTGTGCCAGTGATTTTCAGTTCTTGTCAGAACTGGTCACCAGCGCAGGAGCCTGAAAAGAGGTGAACAGGGAAGACCCCCCCTACCTGAGTCAGAATTCAGGCGATGAGCTGACAGTCTCAGTGAGGAGTGGTAACTCCGACGACGTGACTTGTAGGTGTTTTCACTGCTTCTCTCCATGGAGAATTCCTCTAACCATGAGGAATTTGAACGCTTATCCCGAATCGTGGAAAATGAACGTCTCATGGAGCTGGGATCTGTCACCACCTGGAAATAGGAGCCCCCAGAGGAACACAAAATCTGGATTAATTACGGAAAAGGTCTAAAAGTAAGGGAGAAGTGAGCTAAAGATTGTTGAAGATTGCAAACTGTAACCTTCCTTGAATCCCTCTTGCTCAGATCTTAGCTGGCAGCAAGTGTCCTATGCTATGTTAACATAGACACTGAGACTTATCCAGGGTCTTGTCTTCATGCTCAGGAAAGCAAGCAGTAAGTGTACAGTGCAAGCTTCCCATAGAGCCCTCTACCATAGGGGCCCAGCCAGGACCTGCAGTGAACCTTGAGCCACTCTGAAATATGTGAGGGCAATTATCAAAAAGTCTGCACCATGAAAGCAGCATAACTTTGCCTTTTATTTGTTGCTCTCACCAGGGAAGGCCCTTCCCTATAGCACAGGAGCTTAGGACAGCTCGTAGCTGGGCAGCATCTAAGAATGCATTGCTCTCTATCATCCATCCCCCCGCCCCCCTCCCTCGGCCCCACCTTAAACTCTTGCATTTTGATTTGCCACAGATGTTAAAACAGATCCACAAAAACTTCTTCTCTCTGTCAAAACTTGATGTAAGACAGACAGACAGAAAAAAAGAAGCCAGAAAAACAGACAAAGAAATGAGGCGTGGCCTGCACTGGTTAGGACAGACGGTCCTGACACAGAGCTGTGTGTGTTAAGTAACTGCATATGTGCTGGGGAAGCCAGGAAAGGTGGAAAGGAAAAAAAAGAACCACAGGGAAAATCCTGGAAAATATTTCTTGCATGGCTGGTTGAGTCTTGAAAATGTTGAGCCCATCCAGAAGGAGTTAGACTTTTATGCTTAGGGCTTCACTAAAAACACACTGTGGAGGAGCAAGCAGACTCTAAAGAGAAGGCCCATGAGCCAGATTTTGCTTATACGGAAGGGATGGGGGCAAGTCGAGGGCTCACCTGAAAATATCAGATGATTTTTTTCATAACCCACCAATTCAATACAGTCCAGGATGCCACTACACATGGTAGGTGGTGATAGCTTTTTACCTGGGGATCCATAGTCAGGCGTGGCATAGAGGATGCCCTCCCCGATCCCGTATGCTCCTGGGTGTCCGAAGGAAGGTAGATGCCATGGTTAGAGGACTGCACGCTTTTTAATTCACTAACCTCTGGCTCCTGGAAATAAACACACAGCCAAGCTTGTGGGACTTGGTTCCATCTCATTGCTTCTCACCTCCGGTGGATGATTCTGCCTCCTCCATAACAAGAATGGTTTTTAGAAGAGAGACTTGAATCTTTAAGGTCTCAGTTGTATGTGTATATATGTGTGCATCTATGTGTGCACTTGTGGTATACCAGATATTCCAAACAGAAAACTCTACCAGGGACTGAAAGGTAAAGACTACCTTTTCTAGTCAAGTACCCTCTTATCTACCTCTAAGCAGTGCTCCCGATTTTATAGCTCTGTAAAACCTTATCAGTCATAGTACTTCTTAGATTTGTGAAGTTTACTTTCTGAAAGTTGTAGTGTTTGTTAGGCTTATTAATTGGAAGAAGCTATTTGTCAAACAGAAACCACTATTCTAAGGAAAGTCACCAATTTCTGGTGTCAAATATATCATCTCAAACCTTAAGACACATGATTTTATTAGCTGAGAACTTACTTTCTGATTGAAACCATTCGAAAAATGTGATAGATAGCCATTTGTCAGGGATGCTCTCCACTAGTGCTGTCCAATAAAAATAGTATGCAAAGTGCCTCTGTAATTTTAAATTTCCTAGGAACTACATTTAAAAAAATTTTTAAAAACCATCAAGTTTAATATATTTAGCCCAATATATCCAAATATTCTCATGTCAACATGTAATCAGTCTAAAACTTGGGATATTTCACCTTTTTGGCACCACGTCTTTGACATGGGCATGTATTTTCTACGTACAGCACATCTCAATCCAAGTGCTCAATGGCCACATGTGGGCAGTGGCTATTATACTGGCCTGTGCCACTCTAGAAGATTAGATTGGAACTCTCTAAGGTGCCAGCTCTTTTAGGTGGTTTTCCTGGTTAAAGAATGTTTGTTAGTTTGGCAAACGTACGTGATCCATACAGATAGCTACTGTCACTGCCTAAGGGGAAGAGTTGCCTTAGAAATGTTTACATGGGCCACCAAAGAGACCTAGAAATATCCTGGACATCTGGAGATTTTACCAGGAAAAAAAAGCTATTTTATATTTAGAGAATGACACCCTGAAAACCTAGTTGTTTAAATAGGGCACTGCTGAAGGAAAGGGTGCCCGAGACCCGGCTCGCCTCCAAGACCATTTGGCCGGGTGGTTTCTGGTGTGAATGGGAGGACTGCCCTCCTAGAACATGTGATATGTGCGCTTGAGGAAATTTTAGTGTGTGCACTACATGCTTTATAAAGCACACAGGTCTGACTTAAAACAGACGTGGTAACAACACTGCAGTTTGTGGGGGGTGAGAGGTGGGATAAGACACATGCACAAATCATGGCCACGCCTCTGGACGTGGAGCAGGGGGCCCCAAGGGATGGGCAGGAGTACACAGTGGTGAGCATGTGGCATGGGCTGACACCTGAACTGAATTACAGACACCAGTACTGACAATGAGATGAACACAGATCCAAAACGTCCTGGCACTATGGCTCAGCCCTGGGGAACCCACAGAAATAATGACGTAATAAAGAAAGCCTCCCTGTGAAAGAAAGGACACATTATTGAGATCTTCCCAGCCAGACACATCATCAGGCAGACAAGCTGTAAAATGCTGAGAGGCACTTCTTTTAAGAATCAAACTATCTGTACCAATTAGTCCATGGTGCTAAGTTCCTCAGAAGGGAAGGCAGGAAATAGTCCAAGGATTCCTGCCTACCTTACCAAGAACACCCAAGGTACTCACACCCTGAGAGGGTTTGGTCTAGTGGTCTCCCAAACATCTACACAGAACTCCCTGTCTCAGCAGTCACAGGAGACGGAATCACCCATTTGTTTGAGCTACCGGAGGGTTTTGCCCCCTCTAAGGGTTCCCATGCCATCAGACATGCACTCCATAAACAGGCCAGTCCCACATTCCACCCACATCATCCATCCAGGATGGCTCTGGGGTGCACAGCAGTGGAGGGGGTCAGGAGAGAAGGGGAGAGAAAAAAACACACACAGATGAATTATAATCAAAGTGACACGGAACTCAGGTTAAGCTGTCTATGTGGACTTTTGCAAATGTTGAGTTTTGTCTTTTTCTTTCCAGGCCCATGAACACTTGGGCTTTGATTCTAAGTTCAGGACGGATGTTGATCTCAGGCTCCTGAACTAAGGATAACGGTAAAGTCTATTATCATTGGGAATCAAAACACAAAGCTATTTTAGCTTTGTATTAGCAAAATCTAAAGGTCAATGTGCACCGCCCCCCAGCTTAAACTTGATTCAATAGGTTTCTCAGGAATTTTACCATTTATGCTAATGAAAAACTTTAGGCTCAGGGGAGGGATTTTAGGGACCTCTTAGTATGTACTTGATTTATAGAATTGTGACCAAAAGGGACACAAAGAAAAGAGGTAAGAGATTTTTCTGTAACTCTTGGCTGACAGCTCGTCATGGTCACACATGCTCCCCTGAGTTATCCAGGAGGTGGGCATCTCCAGAGGGCTGGCATAGGGCATTCCTGTGTTCCCAGAAGCAGTACTGGCTACACTAAGCTGTCCATTTGGTGCCACTCATTCTGATGGTTCATCCTAAGGCTCCATATCAAAGGCAAGATTTAGTGACTCTTGCGTCTACATTTGCTGCTTACAGGCATAAATTAAGAAGGTTTGGCCTGAAGCGATCTGGGTTCCTGAAGCAGGTAAGGGGTCTCTGGGATTGTTAAAACCTGCAGAGGGAGCATTTGTCAGAGAACATGAGAAATTCAGCCACAAAAGGAGAGAAAGCACGGTAACTAACTGGCAGGACTATCGGAAAGGGTTTTCCTGATAAACCACAGCTATGAAATAAGATTCAGAAATGAGAGTGGGAGGGATCGGGAAACCAAGGAACTATTTTTGAGGTCATGTAACTCATTCATTCACCAGAGACTGCTGTTCCTGGAATTGTCCATCGGCTGGGTCCATACAAGCCAACTGGAATATTTCCTGGGGGGAGAGCGGACTCATCGAAGGGTACCCGCTACGGCCACTCCTGAAAAGCAATGGCAAAGTCAGACGTCACGTGTACACGGGAGAAAGGGGAAGTCCTGTCATAGCCACTGCTGCTAGCTCCCCACCCCAGATGGGGGACTTCCTTTCTGGCAAGGGCAACACCCGTCAGCACTGGCTGGGTGTAAGGCTGGCAACTGACAGGGGGCTGGACCCTAGAATAAAAAAAGTTAAAAAAAAAGAAAAAGAAAAAGAAAAAAGCATTGGAAAGGAGAAGCCACTGTTTTCAACCTGCATTTGGAACCATTAATCAGAATTCTGCTGGTGACTAGTCTATCCGTGACAAACGACATTATTTGTCACACTCAGCCATATGGAAGACCCATGCTCGATTACAAACCTGTTTCTGCTCAGTTTCTCCCTTCAGCAGAGGAAAAAAAAAATACTGTAGTTTAAACAGTGAACAGTTTGTTTAAATATTAAGCAGTCATGGTCTTTTAAAAAATTTCCCCCAGTCTCAGCAGAAATATGGTCTTATTGTGCCAACATCCTTGGCCAAACTAAACAATTCAATGCCATGAACATTCACTGATGGACAATTCTGTGCCAGACACTATGTCTGTTGGTTTATGAACTGGGTGGAATGATCTCCGAGGTGGTAACTTCTGGGTTGATGGTTATGGAGGAGGATACTTAAATGGTGATGAGGTAAGAGGCCTCTGAATGAAAGCTATGGTGAGCCGTCCCGGTTTAAACCACTGTTGGGAACCTGCAGACACTCTTAGCCAATGGGACCCGCGGGGCTGGTTAGGAGAGAAAGAGGTAGCCAGCCTCTCCGGAGAAGGTGTCTGTTGCTGCCATTCACTGCGACTAGCACTGTAACAGGTGCCCTCTGACCTACTCAAGAATGCGGAGTGAGCCTCCTGATGGTGGGAAGAGGGACGGTGGTCGGGGATGGGGCTGCAGCTGGAAGGGAGAGAGGGGGCATCGTCCTGTACTCCAGGGACAGCCATTTCATAGTGGAGGGTACTGCACTCATGAATGGATCCGCTGGAAAATCTGAGGCATGAACAAATTTACTTAAAAATAATCCATAGGCACAATCTTACCTTGACTGGGATCACAGGGAGAGATCTGAAGAGCGGAGAGTCATCCCACCTGTCCCCTTGCTGCCAGGAGGATGTTTGCTGAATTTTCACAACTGATACAGAGCAATCTGATATTTAAATGACCTGCTTACAGGTCCTCAGTGTGCCTTCTGAGAACCACTGGGAGCAAGATGGACACTGCTCTCTGAGTCACCACAGAATCCCCAATAGAGAGAAAGGACACTTGGGATCACTGAACAACCTCCTAGAGTTGAGTAACTTGAAGTGAGAGTGACTTCCTCCTTTAAAAACCGTGTCTGGATTCTCACTGTTAGGATAAAGTCTGGAACACGGCCTCTCCTGATCTGGTTCCTACCCTGCCTGCTTTCTCATGCCCTTTATCTCCTGCTCCTGAATTTCAGACACACGGGACTCTCTTAGTTCACTGAATGGGCCCGCCCGGCTTCTCTCTGCCTCAAGACGTTAATACAGACTGTTCCCAGAGAGCAGAGTGCTTCTCTCCAACTCCCCTGCCCTCGGCAAACTTTTTTCATATTATTTTTAATTCATCCTTCCAAATTCACTCTGTTCAGGAAATGCTCTCTGATCTCTCCCCACCGCCAGAACGGAGGTGGACTCAGATTATGCCACACTGTTTTCCTCCTAGTACAAATCACTGAAAATGACAACTTTTCTGCTTTCCGATAATTCTGTTTCATGACTGGCTTTCCACCAGGTATAAGCTCAGGGAGGGGAGAAGGTCCTGAGGACCTCTACCTCTGAACCCCTTTCAGGAAGTGTGCCAACATCCACCCAAAGCCTTATGCTGGAAACTTGTGGGTCATTTTTGATTTTTTTTTCCCCTCCTTCACTCCCTGAGGCAAATCAATCACCACATCCCATCCAGTCTCCCTCCTGATAATATTTCAAGTCTGAGCATCTCTCCCCATCTCCATCCTATTAGTCCAAGCCACAGTCATTAATAATTCACACAATTGCCATCACATACTAAAAGCAGTTCTGTCGTTCAAACTGTTCCATTCTGATCCAAGTCCACATTGGTTTCAAGAATCATCTCTGAAAAGCCCAAGTCTGATCATGTCACACTGATGAGTAAAACCCCATGATCCTTAGATAAACCCTCACTCCTGTATCCTGTTTATAATGCTTCCCCATGCTGGCCCCGATGGAGCTCATCACCTCAGCTCCAGCCATCCTGACAGTTTTCAGGTTCCTGAGGCTTCTCCCCTTTCCCCCCGCTCTCTTGAAGACCATGCCTTTGAGTCTCGTTAAATGTTATTTCCACAGGGAGGCCTCCCCACACCCTGGAACCGCTGTGTTGCTTCTCTTCTGTGGTATCACATGAGGCTACCCTTCTGCATTTTAACCTTCATCACTTTTGTAATTTCTTTTTCAATATTTATCTCCATGGGGGCCGTGATCATGTTGACTGATAACTCCCCAGTGCCTGAGCCAGCTCTTCTCTCATAGGGGGTTTTAATAAATATTGGTCAAATCGAGGAGGAGAAGTATCAATAAACACAGGGAGGAGTTGGACTGATGTTGTAGTAGGAGTTAAATATGGCAAATTGTTGGGGTGAGAGAGACCTAGGTGGAGGGGTGTCCTCTCTTTCTAAGCCAAAGCCCTTGAAAGACCCTGTATTTCCCCTGGGAAGTTTCCCCTGGGAAGTTTCCACTGCTCCAGTCATACCCCCTTCCTGCACAGACCAAAGACAGACTTCTCCTGGTTTTCTGTAGACAGGAGAATCCATACCTTGCTACTTTATCACATCAAATATCTGTAAAAATGAATAGCCTTGGTCGTGATGTTGGTCCTTTGCTTCTCTTGCAAATGTGTTGGATTAAGACCTCTGAAATCAATGCTTTTCAAAAACAGGTGTCCAGCATCACAGGCTGAAAGGAATTGGTGGTGTGAGAAACTGACAGAGGTCTCATTCCCAAGCCTTGATTTCATTCCCCTGATAATTACTGAGGTTGTGGTATTTAATGATTATCAGCTCCATGAGAATGAAGACTGGGTTAAACCCAACTGCAAAAACTCACTCACCTGGGGTAGAGAGATTCCTGCCCTTTGGGAATTTGGACATGCTTGCTGATGTAAAGAAGTTCAGGTTATAATGAGGTATGTCTGCTATAGTAAATCATGTATGACTAACAACCAAGTGGGGGGCTAGGGCTTACAACTCAGAAGAGTTGGCAAATTCCTTAACAGAGGCTTTGTTTCTGCTTCCAATATATATATATTTTTTCCTGATCTAAGGTTCCTTTTGTTCATTACAGGTAACAGTGTAGTGGGAATACTCTGTAGTTAGGAATAACAAACTTCCAGTTCAGCTTCCTACTAGCCATATGCCTTTGGGTAACTTATTTAGTCCCCAGTTTCTTATTTGTAGAGCGAAGACATGAACATATGCCCTTCTTTCTTTGTCCATTCACTCTCTCTCGAGCTGGCCCCAGGACTGAACATGCTATTAGCCCCGCTGAATAACCATTTTAAAATAAAAACTGTTGTCTTCTCAAACTCAGAGAAAGGACCACTTGGCTCAGACTATTACTTCCTGGCCATTTCTGGGCCTGCACAATGGCGCTGGTGATCGGATGCAAGCAGGACGGCTGTGGAGTCCTTGGTTATACTCACAGGCCTGAAACAGGGTCCTGCTGGAGATAGGGCAGGGCTTTGGCATTGGCAATGATCTCCTGAGGCAGAGATGAGGGCTCCATGCGCTGGAACATGGGTGCATTTTTCTGTGTTAAAAGCAGGAAGGAGGAATTCATGTGATGATGGGGTCTACCAGCAGGGGAGTGGGGGATACCATTCACTTGGGTAAGATAGGATCATGCCTGATCCTCTGATCCCCTGGGTTTCTAATCCCCAACACTAGAACGTTCCTGGACCCTGAACCCCAGCCTCTGCTTCTGAGCCCCAGGGAGGCACAGGCCTGGCCCTAGAGGGGCCCTCCTATGACTCCTCATGGCCCACCCACTTCCCCTGCTGTCAGTGACCCTCACCTGTTCCTCTAGCTGCTGCCTCTGCTTCTTCACCTTACTCTGTTTATAGTAGTCCATGATCATCATTGCTGCATAGATTTTGCCCACAGTCAGGTCAGAGGCTAGAACCACAAAGGTGGCATGGGAGGGAACAGGGAGAAGACAGGTGGCAGAGAGTGAGGACACCTCACAAGCCTCCCCACTCTCTGAAGCAGGTTTGCTCCCTCAGCCACCCATCTAGCCAACATTTATGGAGAGCTCCATGTGTGCTGGACCCTGGGGATACAAAGTGATGAGGTCCCAGATCTGCCCTCAGGGAGCTTCCACGGCCACCCAGTGAGAGTAAGGATACTGATGAGAAACCACATATGAGTAAGCATCACCTCCACTGGTCTAGATTCCCACGTCCAAGTCACAGCACCCTTATTCCCAATGAGTGAGGGTTTGCTGAACACTACTACAGGCAGGGAGAGAGCTGTGCGCCCAAGAAGTTTCACCCACAACTACAGTGACCTATCTTGAGAAAACGTTTTCAGTGAATGCAAAGGGATTAAGAAGTGGGGGATTTGGGTTTCCTAAGGATAAAAGAGCAACCTTTATCTCCTTGATCACTTCCTAGTCTCCCAAAAGACGTGACCGTGGCATGCTGAGCCCACAGTGACAACGCTACCCAGGAGGAGACCCCACACCTTTGGGCATGGGCACAAGCAGATCTAGCATCTTCTGGGACAGGTGAGGCCAGATGGCCAGGGTCTCCTTTTGCAGCTCCGAGTCTAGCTGCTGCCTGTCTGCACCACCTAGAAGATAAATTGTCATAAATAGAACAGACACACAAATACCAAGGACTGAGGGAGTGGGTGCGGGGTGGGAGCTGAATCAGCATGGCACCTCATATTCTCAGAGGAAGTCTTGGCACTTAGTGACAGTGGATCTTGTAATACCAGAAGCAGAACACAAATTTGCTCCCCTTTTTAGTGACTCAGGGATAACCTGCCACAGATCTGAGGCCCTGAGACCAAGAGCAGCTTCCTCATTCGTTAGAAACACCTCCCAGGTGCTTAATATATCAGAGGGAAAAATGAAAAAAGCCATAAGGAGCCTCCCCTGCCTCATGAGACGTACATCAATTCTTCCAGCAACTCTGACTCCATAGTCTGAGTGACCTGATTTTAAAAAGGATTTGGATCAGGCAAGAGCAGGAAGGCTGGAGGTGCATCTGGAAATAGTAAACTTTTCCTCTCCTAAATCACTGAATCAGAAATGGAGAGGAGCAAAGTACTGCCCCGATAGCCCCTGCCATGAACCTTCCAGGGCATTAGAGATGATACCACATAAGAAAGAAAGGACAGAATCAAAAGTCATTCGTTCAATAAGCAAAGACTTCTATGGGCCTACTATGTGCCAGACAATGAAGATCGCAGGCTGGTAGAGCTGGAAGGAGCCTTAGAGATTATCAAACCATTCATTTTTCCAGGAAGAAATGGCAAACATTACAGTTACCAAGTCAGAGGTGAAACTAGGACCCTACAGAGCTGATTTCCACATCACGGCGCTGTCAGATGGATGCAAGTTCGAACGTCTCCATCCTGTGCCACCTCGGGTGAGTTGTTCCAGAATCCCGTTTTCCCTCCCCGGCTCACCTTTGGCGATTTTGATGTCCAGAGCTGTCCGGATCAGAGCCATAAGTGTGGAGGTGAAGTGGACTGTCATGTCCTCAGCTACTGGCATATTCATCAGGACCAACCTCTGTGCGAAAGAGAGAAAAGAAACAGCAGGAGGAAAAAAAAAATATCGAAAGAAACCTTGGTGAGAAGAGAAGAGAAGTACAGGGTCAAATGCAGAGACAAAAAAGAAGGGCAAGGATTCCCTGTCCCCGGTCCCACCTCCTCTCTCTGCTTCTCACTTAAGGCTCACTCGCTGCTATGTAGTTAGTTTCTTCCTAGGGAATGTTGCCGAATTCCAAAAGAAGGGGGACTAGCATTCTGCAGGACTCCTCCATGGTCCTAAGAATGTCTTTCATAGGGATGGAAAGTGATTTTTAAAAGAAGTGGCTCAGAGAAAAGAGTCAGCTCTGGGAGGTGACTCCATTCCCTGATTCAAGGCTGCTCTCTGTTTCCCCTTGTCCCATGGATACCCCCAAAACTCACACGGAAAGAGAGTGATGGGGGAGATTTCGCTTTGCTTATCTGACTTGAAAGATGCATCCTGATGCCCCCTTTTTGAGTCTTTAAAAGGTGAAATTTGCCAGCACATGATTAAACATGCATAAGTCCAACTTATCCAAAGGATGAGGTGGAGCAGGGTGGAAAAGAGAGTGCATACAGGGTCTAGGGGAAGAAGGCTGCGGAGCGCAGAGGAGAGAACGAGAGAAGGGTGACCAAGGCAGGAGCAGAGTGGGCAGGCCTTGTTCCCCTCACCCGAAGGAAGGGATCAAACTGAAATGGCCAAATCCACTTTCCAGAGAGTATCTTGCTTTTGGAATCCTTTAACTTTTCCTCCAGGCCCCACACCCCCTCTCCCACCAAGCTTCATCCCAGAAATTCAAAGAACTCAATGCCATGTCCCACCACCTGGTCCTTTTGGATGTGGCCATCATGAGCAAAAAGGATGCCAGCCCATAAGCTGCGCATGAAGAGCCATGTCCTGGACCCGAAATGGCCCTGTTCCAAGGAGATGCTCTCTGGAGCCGTACAACTTGGAGGTAGAAGCAGCTAGAAGGTCCTCTGGCAGAACCACCAGCCTAGCAGGGAGGGATGTGTCTCTTCCCAAGGCAGGATCTATAATGCTCCGTTGGAACATCTCACCTAATGTGATTCCACAGACGTGGTGTCTTAGAGTGTAAAGTCAGTTTCTTGTTTGTATCTGAGTGCCATCTCTCTCCCACTTCCTTAAGCTTCTAGACAAGCGGTAACATTGCTGGGGTGCCTTCCTAGATGAAAGAGCTCCGGAGTGCTGGGTCAGTCTAAACACCCCACAGTAACTATTACTAATGGGTGGAGAAGAAAATCAGGCCCCAAAGCTCTGAGTACCCTGACAGCAGGTGACTTCCAATACACAACACTGCTCTGAGCAAGCCATGGGGAATCCAGCCATGACTCCAGGGCTAGCCCTCATCATCAGTCATGCCAAGAAAGCAAATCTAATGCTGAGGGCAACTTGTGCCCGTTGTCACCTTTTCCCTTGTACTGACAAGAGAGCCCAGCAGCTGGGCTGATGGGGGGAGGGGGCTGGATCCTTCCTCATGTATCATAGAGATCATGTTGTTCTTTTTTTTCTGATACCTAGAAGGAACCATGCCACAGTTCCTTCCTATGTCAAAGAAGAAGAAATTTGTTAATGATTTTCCCCTCTCCTAAAAATTTCTTGAACCGTGTTTAGACAAATTTCTGCATTTATTTCCTTAGCTTATCTAATTGAAAGTTGTTTTTTTTTTTTATAGGCTCTGATAGCGGTTTCGCTGTAGGCTTCCTTCTTGCCCATATACGCTATCCTGCTGGCCACCACTCTGCCTCCTCTGAGGAAACACGTTACTTAACACTTCCTTTCTGGTAATCTGGTAATTCACGAGAAGCCACATGCTTGTAGAAACACAGAATCACACATAAAACATCTCATGGTGAAGAGTCTTGCCAAGCGTGCTTTGTATTGTTCTAGGACTCCATACTTCCAGGAACCTTCCTTGCCCTTCAATCTCATTGTTTCTTTCCCCCTTGGTTCCCTCCTCCACCTCCCCAGCCCAGCTTCCTCCCCATGTTCTGGCCTCCCCACAGCTGGGTCCCGTTTCCTGTTGGTCTCTAGCCCAGAACAAAGGAAGGGGTGGTCTACCTTATATGCCACTTTGGAGGGACATCTCTTGCCGAGGCCTAGCGGTGGTGACATGAGAGTCAGCATTTCATACATCTCAGTGTAATGGATGCGGCCACTGCTCATGGAGGGGTGGTAAGTGGGGGTGGGGTGGGTTGGTGGGGCAGGGAGGGTGGCAGGGAAAGGAACAGGAAGTGGGGAAAAGGATGCAAACCGGGAGGAGAGGAGAACAGGCATTCCCAGAGAGCCAAAACAAAACAAACAAAATAATACAGAAAACAGAAGAAGAGAAACAAAATGGACAAACAGAAAAAGAATAGGAAACCTGTTAATCAAGGCAAATCGTACGTGTGACTCCATCCTGGTGCGGATTTATATCACGCCCCACACAGACCCGGGAACATTGGTGGCAACATTTTGGTCCCTCCGACTCTAGAGCGCAGTCGTGGGGACTCAGTTTTCTCCTCCTGGATGATCAGGACCCTACTTGGCTGTTCACTCTATCCATCCCCCATTCACCGCAAGCCTGTTTGCAATTCCCAGGGCTGTGTGCGAGCGGTATAAAACGGATAGACGGTGCTCCAGCCACGGGTTAGGATTCCTGGCCCCCGCCGGGATGGGGCCCCCGACCTGGAAGTCGGGCCTTTCTCCTCCTCTCAACCCACAGGCGGAACGTCGTGTATCCCCCTCTGTGGTGTGTGTGCATCAGGAGGCGGCAACTTGCACTCAAAGTGGTGGGCTGCTTTTCCACGTCGGCCGGCCCCGTTGCTTCCACCTGGCTCTGCGGGGAAGAGTGCTCTTTACTCCCGGCATGCCCCGGGGCGATGGCATGCTGGGGACAGAAGAAACCAAACCAGGAGGAGGAAGACATCTCGCATGCCATGCTGCCCTCCCGGCTCTCCCCACATGCGGCTGCAGGTTTCACAGGGGTGCAGTTTAAAGAGTCTCAGCAGAGGCAGCTGCTTGGCCCCTGGGGTACGGGAGTCACTGTGTCGCCACCCCAAGCCAGCTCCTTCCCGTTGCCCACGCTGGCATCTTCCTGGGCCTACGTCTTCTGCCAGCTGCCGGACCGTGCTATGCCCAGAGAGCCCACCCTTCCCTCCTGCAGCGCCAGGAGGGGCTTCCTTATCTAGTGGGCTTGGCCTTGGACGGTGGCTTGGCAGAGCCACTCCTGCTCGAGTTCCCAGGGTCTGGCAGAGTTGCAGAGGGGGTCCCATGTGCCCCTGAACAACGTCCTTGGTCTCACAAACAAGCAGTGATGCGGCAGTTATGACAGGCCCCTTGGTCCCCTCAGCAATATTCAGAGGACCCTAAGGCAAGGAATCTGCTCAGGAGCCCTCCGTCACCTACAAAGACCTTCCCAGACCCCCTGAGCTACTGCATTCTTCCACACACCACCGAGGCTACCCTCTCTTACCACTCTCCCCTTTAGCTCTGATTCTTCATGGTTTCTCACCTCCTTTCTATCCTTGAGCTGTTACGATCCCTTCTGGCCAGACTACCCAGGAGCTGGAGGATGCGCAGAGGTAGGGCTGACTAGGAACACACTTTGCTACTTTACACATGGGAGGATGATGCTACTTTTACCAAAAAGAGGCCCTCTGTTCTCCAGTGAAGGGAAACCAGCAAAGATGTCCACATTCTCTGGAGGACGGAGAGGTCCCTCTGGTGAAAGCTACAGGTTAAGGTGGAGTGGGGAGAGAGACCGAGTGTGTGAGAGTGTGTGTGTGGTTGTGTGTGCATACACACGTGACTGAGTGTGTGCATGTGCTGAACAGTGAGACAGGTCACATCGGCCTTCTGTATGAAGTCCTTTTTTTCCGCCTCCCTGCCGCCCCCCCACCCCCTTGTGCCCTTCTTCCTTATGTAACAGCTGCTGGTTCTGGGAGGGTTTGGACCTCTTTAAACTCAAAGGAAAGCAACATGAAGGTTCCCTCATGTGGCGCAGTGGTGGTGTAGCAGAACGGACAGGAGGGTTGGAGGTTGCACCCCACGGCCGGGCATGGCTGGGGACTGGGAGGCCAACCTTGCAAGCCACCCTGTAGGGGCAGTTCTTTCCCAGGCCCAGAGGCGGTGAGATCACCCGCACTAATTTGTACATATCCTTATACGGGATCCTGCCGCTGCAAAGGAAGCACAGGCGGGTTAATAGAGGACACTCAGAAAAGGGTGGGAAAGACATGACAGTTTAGCCATGAAGCTGATGGCCGGAAGAAGAAGAGCAGCTTTTCTTTTTTTCCCCCCCCTGGGACCCGGCAAAGCCAGACCAGGACAGACTGAGAACAGTAAGCCTCAGAGAACCACCACCTTGCTGAACTGCACTGCCCCCGGTTGTCGAAGGAAATCAGAGCCTGTCCAGCGCCCGAGGGACTGCCAAATGGCCCAGAGCACCCCCAAGACACCTGTCTGGCCCATTCTCAGCCAGATGCAGAAAATGGACGCTGGCTCGAGCCAGGCCTCGGAGAACAGAGTTTGAGAGTTCAGGAAGGCCTCTGACAGCTGTCAGAGCAGATGCCAGGCTGCCGTGAAGTGGGCTGCCCAATGGTATGCTTTTCACAGAGACCGATTACAGCCAGTCACTCAGACCCGCCTGTCAGGGGCAGTGGGAAGTCAGCATTTCTCTGCAGATGGAGAGAGACGAATTTCCCGTTAGGCTAATTAGCAAGGAGCACAGTTAGCACAAGGGAATTGGCAAAGGGCTTTGCTTCTTGAGGCGGCAGATTGTTCCAGAGTTCAGCTTGGGCAAGCTCTGCTCTCCTCAGTGGGGAGACTGCCTGGATCTGTGCTCAGGGGCCTGGGAGGGAGCCGTGGACATTCTCCCTCCAGCTCTGCTCCCGCCAGCCAGCCCACAGGCAGGCAGCCTGGTCAGATCCAGCCAGACTTCCAGGAACAATGTGACCTATCTTACCACCCTTCTATCAAGGGCCTGCTAGGGAGTCCTGGCTTTCTGCGGGAAGGACAGAATCAACAATGGATTCATTTTCAGGGGCTAAAGCATCTGCTCTGTCAGAGACCAGAACAAGGAAGCAACCTCCTGGTCCCGGGATGGACCATGGTTTCTACCTGAAATTATGAACCCACATGTCCGCCTCTGAGCATCTGGTCCTTGCCAGCAGCCACGTGAGGCTTTGTCCCAGCTTTACTCTTTCTAGTCTTTTCTTGATGTTGGTGTTAATTCCTCCTCTTTTTCTAAATAGCAGCTCATCAGTACTTCAAGTCTCTTGATTCTTGAGAGGAAGTTCAGTTAACCATTTGCTCTTTGTTTCTTGAGATTGGAATGTGGGTGGGTTCGTACTGCCTATAAGCTGGTATTCTCTGCATCCTGTATCAGTTGGCCAAGACATTGGCTCACATTATCCCTGATAGCGCTTCCGCCCGCATCTCAAAGAGAAGGCCAATGAAACTCTAACCAGCCTGTTATGCTGTGAATTTCGAAGCAGAAGGGGTTCTCCTTTCTATTTTTGCTCTCTCATAGCTCTTCGATCTAAGTCTCATGATTTTTTTTTTTTTTTTTTTAGTTCTCATGGAATTCTTTCTTCCCAGCAGCTGGAATGAGTGGGGAGGAGCATGTTTAATGCACAAGGTTTTCGGGTCCCAAGATAACATGAAAGCCAAAGACACCCAAGTGAGGCTAGGTGAGCAATGGACTCTTCTACAAGCAGTTCTCCTCTCTCAGGGGAGTGAAGACATCCCTTCTCAGGCTCCCCATCTCATGGCCGTCCACGCTTTTCAAACCAATGTTCCATCATTTCTGGTTGCTTTCCCATATGGTTATTATCAGTTGTAACAACAGTTACATACATGATCTAATATAAGCCACACAGCCACCCTTCAAGGTAGGCAGGGCATCATTAGCACCATTTTACAGATGAGGAGGCTTAGTGTGGTTAGGTGACTTGTCCAAGGCCATAGGGCCAGTTCGATGCAGGCCCTGCCTACATTCCCTCTAAGCAGCCTTATCTACCAGAAAGTAGACCCAGAAAGTAAATGCCATTGCTCACCCATTTGTAACAGGAATGGATTTGGAGAACTCTGTGCCCTAAGTCACTAGTAATTACTGAGGGGAAGAGGAATTCTGATTCACTCTTCCAACGCTTGACCCAAGTTCAACAGCCTCAGAGGAGGGTAGATTTTAGGAAGAGTCTAGGATTATGAAGGGGCTCCAGGTGGAAGCAACGTGGGCCATTCCTGGGAAGGATGGCATTTTTTTGTAGTATTTTTAGAAGGGGACCAGAATGGGTAGATTGGTGAGATAAGATCCTAAAGTTAAAATGACATGGGACAGAAAAGTTCCTGTGGAGTGAGTGCTCCCAGAATGGTCACCCTGTCCTCAACCATGAGGGGCCAAATTGCTGCCTTTGAGCTCTCAAGCAGGGATCAACAAATTTTTTTTCTGTAAAGGGTCAGGTAATATTTTTGATTTTGAGGGTCACACTGTCTTTGTCACAACTACACAGCTCTGCCTTATAGTGTGAAAGCTGCCACAGACGATGCATGAATGAGTGGGTCTGGCTGTCTTCTAATAAAGCTTTATTTACAAAAACAGCCAGCGGACCATGTTTGGCCCTGAGGCTGTAGTTTGCCAACCCCTGCTCGAGAGCCCAGAAGGCACATCACTTGAGAAATACGGAACAGTGAAAGAAATCTGGGGAGGTTATTCACGCTAATTCCTGCCATGTAATTCAATTCTATGCAGTAAAAATCCTCAAGTGTTACTTGCTCGGTTTTTAACATAATTTCAGAGTTATCTCAAACAGTATCTTTTGAGAGGGATGAGAGAGACAAAACGCTGTTGTCACTGACCACGATGGACAGATGTTCGACTGACCCAGAAAAACCCTTGTCAACCCACCCCCCTCCCCGCTCCGGTGACTCAAAGGAGTCCACTAAACATTGGCAGGGGTAAAAAAGAAAAAGATTATGGGAAGCCCCTCTGGCAATTGAAACCAACCATTCTGAGGTACAGACTGTGTGATGAGATTGGCAAAGAAAAGGAAAGCCTGTCACAGAAGGAATGAGAGGGGAAATGAAGATAAAGAAGCTATGTTTTTGATGACTGGCCTGATACCAGAGCCAATCTGAGGGCCTGGGCTCTCGCACAGGCCACGACTGAGAGGAATCTCCTCTCCTTCTGTAACAGGCAGACATCCGGTTCCAACCCCTTCCTTGGGAACTCCAGAGGCCCTAGTTACTGGCCCCACTGGGATGGCCAGGAGGCCTACGCACCATGCAGCTCTGTCATATTCTGCCCAGACGCGGACAAACTCGTCCAAGTGGTGAGGCCCTAAGATGGAGGAGTCCCGAGTCAGGTACTCAAAGTTGTCCATGATGACGGCCACGAACAGGTTGAGCATCTGGAGGGCAAAGGGGAGAAGTGGAGTTAGGGGAAACCTAATGCAGGAAAACAGGCTTCAAGGCAAATCAAGAATTCAAAAGTTCGTGAGGCGAAAGATCCTAGCTAAAGCACTGCTGATCTTGCTGAACGCAACATGTTATCGTCATAATTTCCACACATTTCATTGTGTGAGCTTTATTACTTCACTCGTCAGTGCCACTTTATATTTGCAAAGAACTCCACAAAAAGTCACTTTCTTATCTGTTCAATTAATTTAATTGATGTGCAGCAGAGGGAGCAGCAACAGTGACAACATTCTCAAAGTCAAGGCCTGACACCAACCCTCCCTTCTAGCTTCCCCCATCCCTGCCCCTTGTTCCACCAAAGGAGCCATCAAGAGACCTGGTGAGGTGTCTTAGAGCTCACTGCATGGCTTACTATATGATCACTTGGAAGCTGTCCATGCCCCTCAGTGGCTTCCAAAACCCTGTTCTCTCACTTATTTGCTCAACATTTCTTGTGCACCCACTGTATTGTAGAGATCCAGACGCTAAGGAGGGGAAATAAGAAAGCTGCTGTCCAGAGATACGTTCCTATGCCTCGCACCTTGCTTAAAACACAGCAAGCCTTCACTAGATACTGTTACTTGAATATTCTTCCATCTTTTGACTTTTTCCATAATGATTTAGGAATGTAAAACCCATTGGTAGCTCAGGGGCCATACAAAAAGAGGTGGCAGGGGCGCCTGGGTGGCTCAGTCGTGAAGTGTCTGCCTTCGGCTCAGGTCATGATCCCAGGGGCCTGGGATCGAGCCCCGCATCGGGCTCCCTGCTCCGCAGAAAGCCTGCTTCTCCCTCTCCCACTCCCCCTGCTTGTGTTCCCTCTCTTGTTGTGTCTCTCTGTGTCAAATAAATAAATAAAAATCTTTAAAAAAAAAAAAAAAAGGTGGCAAACCAGATTTGGCCCTTGGGCTACAGTTTGCCCATTTCTGGCCTAAATTATGAGGAAGCAACAGAAGCCACCAAAAGGGTTTATACTAGGAGAGAGACCGAGATATGTTTCATCCAGAAAGAACCCTTGGGAACAGTGCGGCAGAGGGTGCCCAGGAGACCTGTGGGGAGTTTTTTGCGGTGCTCCTGGACCAATAGTGGTGATAGTCGAGAATCAAAGGACATGGAATTGACAGGACTTGAGCACCGTGAACACACGCTGTTGTTGCTTCTTGGCTGCCTAGCACTCATTTACTGTACCTCTGGTCTCTTGGGGACCCCCACCCTATTCCCAGTTCACAGGGTTCAATGGGGCACCACCTGTGATCCGGGCCTCAGCCAGTCGCTGAATCCCATTTATATGTGCCTATAAAATCCCTTTCTGCTTAGGCCAGATGGAGCTGGGCCTTCCGTCACTCCAGAGTAAGAGTCCTGCCTGAGAGACACAACTGGCTGCCAGGGTGAGAGGAGGCTGTTGGTTCCCAGGTGGATGGAGGTGACAGATGTGCAGACGACACAGAAGATCATGAGAAAGTCAGGCGTCTAGGTGGCTTTGTTGGTTAAGCATCTGCCTTCGGCTCAGGTCATGATCCCAGAGTCCTGGGATCGAGTCCTGTATTGAGCTCCCTGCTCCGCGGGGGGTCTGCTTCTCCCTCTGCCTCTCACCCCACTCTCATGCTCTCTCTCACTCTCAAATAAAAATCTCTTAAAAAATAAAGATAAGGAGAAAGTCTGGAGACAGGACGTGGTTGGAGTCTTCTCTGAGAGAGCCTGCTGCCTGCATCCTAACAACCCGTCTCATTCCTGCCTGCCTGCCTTCCTCCATCCTGCCACCTAGGACATGCGTGGGTGCCTGGAGGTCTGGCCCCTGGAGGTGGTGTCTGGGGCACTAAGCACTCTGTAGAGCCACCATAACAAGCCTGGACTGCCTTCCTCCAGACCTCACTGGTGTGTGAGGGAAATAAACCTCCCTGTTGGTTAAGCCGCTGTTATTTGGGGAGCACATCCCAGCATGTGCCGGGCCTTTCTTTCTGTCCCTGAAATTGGAGCCCCAGTGAATATATTCAATCACTGCCTGGGTTCTAAAGGGGTTTCCACGTATCCACACATGTGTTTTACACGCCTTTCAAGGTACTTATTACTAATGTTAACAAAATCATTGCTTTACATTTGTATAGTCTTTCATAGTGTGGTGGTGTCTGCTCTAACCTCGGGAGGCAGACTTAATTGCCATCAGCCCTTCGAGGACACAAGTGCTTCCTACGCACGTTTGTATTCTCAGCTCCAAGCATGCAGCCTGGCACATCGCAGCGTATCAGTAAATCTTTCTGGAGTGGTTGGTTTGAGCGAAGAAGCTGTGTGACTCGCCCAAGGTCACAAAGTCAATCTCCCAGAGGGTTGAGATTCAAAAGCACATCAGCTCATACTGAATCATATCCTCTTTAAAAATAACATGAATGTGAATTATGCAGCACCCTCTATCTCATAATTCTAAAAGTCCCTTTTTAGTCTCTAATGAATTTTCCAGTTATATCTTTGGTTTCTTTTTAAATATTTATTATTAAACACTTACACCATGGAGGATAAAACCAAGCTGTCCACATGCCCTTCCATATGCTCCTCCATGTCACCCTACAACAGCCCCACCAATAAGCACCGGCACCCGTGGGCCTTCCTCCCTTTACCTCTGGTTGACAGAGAGGCTGTAACCCACTCACAGCCTCACCCCTGTGCTTCTAAGATGCTGTTTTGTGCTCCTTTTTTAATTGAAAAACCTTTCACACCCACAAGACGGGAGTGTATTAAATACACATGTACCCGCTCACCATGCAAATAGTACCCTTATTATCAAGTCATTTTTCCTCCCATTTACAGAAGCTATAAAAGGGAAAGTGTGTGACCATGCTAGGACAGCAGCAAAGCCAAGACCACAATGTAGGGCTACCTGAGTCTCCAGCTGGCTCACTCCCTGCTAGGTTAACCTGATGGCCACCCTCAAAAGTCTGCCTGCAAGCCACACCAGAGAGCTTCTCCACACCAGCGAGCTGGACACATGGCAAATCCCTCGTGATCACTTTAGAGAGGCAGAAATGCTTGGACATGACCTAATTCATTTGCTGATGCATGGCTGCAAAGTTAACCACTTCTCAGTGGCACCGCTTTAGTTTTAGATTTTTTTTTTTCGATTTTTATTTATTTATTTGACAGAGAGAGAGCACAAGTAGGCAGAGAGGCAGACAGAGGGAGAAGCAGGCTCCCCACGTGGGGCTCGATCCCAGGACCCCAGGACCAGGACCCAAGCCAAAGGCAGATGCTCAACCAACTGAGCCACCCAGGTGCCCCTAGTTTTAGATTTTTGTACAGTCAGTGACATGAGCAGTGAAGCCACGCTGAGGGATGTCAGGGTGGCCAGAAACACCAGACTGACAATTTAATAGATCTGGTAGCACCTTGTCTAGGGTTGTGCAGGGTAGAGATTTTTAGAGGCCGGGGTGCTGATTCATGCTTTCTCCCAAAGAACGGATTAAGAAGGCACCTAGGGCTTCTCACCATTTTATAAATAGCTGTGCTCCACATATGTCACTCAATATTTACTAATATGCCCAAAGTGATCACTTCCTTTCATGTCTGTCAAGTTGGCCAACTGTCGTCAAATATAGTGACATGAGTCAAGAGACTGCATCTGTGACACTGTATCTTGTCACCACTCTACTCTTATTAATCCTATCACTTTGTATTTCTGAGGTACCTCTTCTCAACAGTTTGAAAGGCTCCAAAAGAGAGGTAAGATATTCTTAGCCCTACCTGTAAGATAAAATCCCTGAGGTACGGAGAAGAGAGATGTCCTCTGGGTCACAACAGATTCAACATGAAACTCAATAATCTATTCCCTAAACTCCACTCTACTCATCATTCCTTCTCACAGCAAACCTTCCCTAGAGGCAACAAAATCTGTTTGGTGGCAGCCATGGGAAGCCACTTACCCGGGAGTCCGCTAAGCATCCTGGCCTTCAAGAGTTCCTTGGAGGATGGGATGGGTAGGGTAGGGTAGGGTAGGGTAGGGTAGGGTAGGGCAGGCCACATCTCGAGCCAAGAATGCAGGGTTTGCTCACCAAGAAGGAGCAGAAGAAGATGAAGGAGACAAAGTAAACGTAGGCCAGATCTGTGCCACAGCGCTCATTCTCGTTCTGCCCCGAAGGTGCAGTGGTGTCGGGCTCGCAGCCTTTCTCCCCAAGGCACGACAGCATTATCTCCTGCCAGGCCTCACCTGTGGCACTCCTGAGCCCCAAAGACATTTTGGTTAGTTGTAGGAGGTCTGCGTGTCTCATCCTCTCTTTGGCCCTCCTTCCCAACTCACCTAATCCCTTTCTCTCCTCTGCAGGTTTCCTCCCTCTAGTGCTTTCCATCCAGAGATGGGAGCATGCCAAGGAGGTCTCTCTTGGGCTCTGCCACTTCACCCACTGCTTCTCTGTCTTTTCGGGAGTGTCTGCTGACAGTGGTAGAGACAGTGGTGGGACTATCTAAGACCCCACATAAACCTGGCCATCCAGGGTTTCAGCCCTTAAATGGAATTTGATCTGGAGGAATCTGTCCTCACCTTCCCTACTCAGTCCTGGTGCACATATTCTAAACTTGCAGTTTACAAATTACCTGCTGAGTCAAAGATGTTGAGGAAACTTCCCATCATCAATGGAGCCATTTTTCAGAGCCACTGCCCCTCCCCATCCCCTGCCTCTACTCCACTGTGTATCTTAATAGGAGCAGAGCAAGCAGAAGAGACAAATAGGAGGAAAAGGCAGACTAACTCCATCTCCCTCGACAAGAGAGCTCCAGCTAAAAACAGTTATGCATCCAGATACCTGAAGAGTAACATGAGGGACCCAAAGAAACTCCGGAAGTTGTTGTGCCGGTTGATGTGACTCTCCTCATCTAATTTTATGTTTCCAAATACCTTGAAAAGAAAAAACAACAAAAACCAAAGAGCATTACTGGCTGTGTGATGTGTCTTGTCCTGCACATGAATATTAGATGCACCTGCATCTACTAGGGTTGGCAAATCCATACGCATAACCCTTCCCAGTGGCCTAATCCTGACGCAGACAACTCAAACCAAGACAGGTTGGTGGATCCCACGCTCCTGGCCTGCTGTGAAGAAGTAATTACGTTCTCCAGTGCAGCAAAGGGGACCCAGGACCATAGAAGGCAAGATCTTTTTGAAGTCATTCTGCCTGTAGGTAGTTCCTCCCACACCTGATTTGGTCTTTTTATTTCCATGGTACCTGTCACCATGGCACTCAAGCAGTCTGTCAAAGATGTACCCCATCACAGAAGTGCAGGAAAGGAACTACCCCTCTCTTCCTGTCTCAGGTAGTAATGAGGGGGGCATGTGTATTTGCAGAAGATGTGATTTACGGCTTGTGCAGATACTATCCTGGAATTTGCAAGCAGTGTGGGTCAGAGAGGGGCACCTTGATCTTCCTTGGATATGTTCTTATCCAGAGGGTCAAACTGAGAATGTCAGTACATCTATAATCTAGAATCCACGAGAACGAAGGCACACAAAGCCAAGTCCCGGCAAAGAGGATGAAGAAAGTCAGGACAACCGGATACTTAGAAAAGGAGAAAGAAAATGAATTTGGGTAGATCTGGCTATAGAATGAGTTTACTAGTCTGCTGTTGGTTGTTGAGCTTGGAATGTGGTCACCATGCAAATTAATGTGAAAAAAGAGGGAAAACTCAGAGATATTTGTCCACAGACAGTGAATAATGTTGAACTCTGAGACCCTAAGTCTCTTCAGATGAGAAGGGCGCCCTTCCACATGCACTCCCTGCCCTCCCCCCAACCATGTTTCAGGTGTCAGGATCTAGTCTCACAAGTCAATATCGGTACTACCGAAGGCCTACAGGTCACTTCCCCAGACATCTGAGACAATTTCCAGTCTGTACATGACATGCTTCAGTTTACCTAATATATGCTAAATGGAACACATTTTTCCCCCCGAACAGTTTTGAGAATGTGCAATTGAGGAACAATCTCTGCCCCCAGCTATTTTGCTCAAATAACTCCTACTGACACCTGCTTTGGGAATTTGTTCTCAACATTGTTTTTCAAAACCCAAATACTACTTGTCTCTCAGGGAGAATGGAAGTGGCAAGCGAGGCAGCACCAGTGAAGAAAGGAAGGAGAAAGATAAGCAGGTGGAGGGCCCACAAACAGAAATGGTAGCAATTAAAAAGTCCCCCTTACATTTAGTTCCAGGCACCCAGGAGGAAACTGTCCAACATCCTTACCTATGTTCACATCACCGTCTCTCCTTTTCACCCTCTTGGTCCAGCATCCATGATTTATCCCTCATTCATCACATCCACACAACTTACAGTGTTTTGTTTTTTTTTTCTTTCTACATATGACAGTCATCAGCCATCATTAATTGTCCTCATTATGATTTTCTCCAATACCTTATCCAGTCATCAGCTGGTTGGAGGGCATGCTGGGGTTTTGCATGAGGCATGTGTCTAACAGTCAAAGAAACTGAAGCTGTTTTGAATCTACTCTAGTTTTCAAGCCAAAAGTGAAGTGGGTCCTTAATTTTTTTTTTTTTTAGCCTTCACTTAGCTCTTGTCCCAAACCAAATTTCTTACACCAAAAGGGCATGAAAAAGAAAGAAGGGATACCGAGACCCACCAGAAAACTTAATGGAAGTACAAGCTTAAATATACTTTCACTTGGAATCACAGAACTCTGGCACATAAAAGGACCTGTGAAGACATCTATCTAACTCCTCTACTGTATTGGTGAGGGTCTTAAGGCCCAGAGGGGCTCAGTGACTTGACCAAGTTTATACAGGTGGTCAGTGCAGGAGCTGAGGCTGAAAGCCTCACCTTCTAATGATCTGTGCCCCAGGATTCTTTCCCATACCCAGCAAGTTACTCCTTCCTTCCATCTTCAGATTCCTCTGCAAAGCTCTCTCTTCTTCCAAGATGCCTGTGGAAGTTCAGAATAATGGTTCTTCTCATAGATTCATCCTATTCCTATTTATATCTTTCCAATGTTGGTCTTCTGCCTTTATGTCTTTCTGTTTAAATGGATCCCTCTGCTTTGTTATGACTATACTAGATACAATTTCTCTAGTCACAAGCTAGGTGTCAGCAATGTGCTTGGTGCGGGGTCTCCATCAGGGACCAGGAGGAAGATGGCCATCTAAAGGCAAATCACAGTGGCAAAGCCATTTGCATCCCTGTGTAACGGAAATAGTGCTCTTATTTTTTTGGAAAGAAGTCTCGGGGCAATAAAATATTAGACATTGCAGTTATTGTAAAGATCACAATTTCATGACTGAACATCTCTCACATCCCACTAAAGGGTCAAAGAAATACTTGTATTTGCTTGTTGGTGGGAGGAGAGAACATGCAGTACAGTAAGAATATGCGCCGTGTAGCAGACAAAGCTAAATTTAAATCTCAGTTCTCCCACTTACTGAGCCCTTGAGCATGTTATAAGTTACTTAACTATGCTAAGCATCAATGGAGTCAATGAAATCCACCCATAAACATTTTCACATCACTCCTGAATATGTTAGTCATGGACTGTGTGTGTGCCTGCTGATAGGGAGGAAGGATGGGGATAAGAGCACACATGGGGTAAGAGCACACATGTCTGGAACATCCAGGAAATCAAGTGATGATAAACAGCCTTATCATCATTATCAGCAATATCAAGAACAGTTGAGTACGGAGATGGTATTATTCTGGTTTATTTTGGTTGACGATGAAAAGGAGGTAAGAGCTATTTTAAGCATGGGCAATAATTGATTAAGTTTCTATTTGGCTATTCAAGAACATTTAAATTCTAGAATCAAATATTTGAGAGTTAGAAGGGCCTTAATAGACATCATCACACTGATCAGAAATTTCAGTAGGGATTCCACTTACAACACAGCCCTGACACCATCATGACATCTCTACTGAAATATCCTCATTGAAGGAGAACTCACTACTTCTCAACCAAATCTCACACCTTTTCACATTTGACATTCGGCTGTCTTTTTGGAGAACAAAAAACTCTCTAGGAATGTGGTTAGAAGATGAATAAAATTAAGAAGTGCTCACATGAGAGAGGAGCAAAAAGAAGAGACATTTCAGAGACACTCTGGAAAAAGGCTCCTAACACAGCAAGCCTGGGAGATGTGCACAGTGGCCCCAGATGACAGGTACTATTGACAAGACGGCTGGCAGTCCAAAGGCGGCCAGACTGGCTGAGTGCAGGAGACTGCCACTTGGCTAAATTTCCACTCTGGGGTTTAGTCTCCACATCTCCAAGTCAGAAAGTTCGCCTCCCTGAGACAGGCAGACAATCCAGTGTATCCAACTGGATAGGTTCATGGGATGAGCTGCTGGCTGTTTACAGGAGTCCATCTGTCACAGATGAAGTCGCTTTAGAAAGATCTTATGGCCTCTTCTGCTCGGTGGGCCTCTGGCTACCCGCATAAATATCCAGGGTAGGAACCTGATCCACTTCTCAACTCCGAAACTGGAAAAGATGTGGTAACCCAAGAGAACTGTCTAGAAGCTGCCTGGCCCTTTGAGAGGAATCAGCAGGACCATGGCCCTTGGGTACCCTTAGGATTAGGCAGGCTACTAGGAACCCTGGGAGTTGCTCCCAGTGGTAGGTCTTAGGGCATAAATCTCAGGCATTCAAGACTTAGACACATTTTGTGTTGCTGTATACAAGAGAACAACCATCTGACTTTCTTTTAGGTCTAGCTCAAATATGGGAGATCCTGAGAAATGGATCATCATGAGCCTCACCCTCAATCTTGTGTGCTTGGGCTGGTAAGCCAGTGACAATCTGGGCAACAACTGTCCCCTACCAGGCCCCTGATACATGAGCTCACCTGCATCCCAATGATGGCATAGATGAAGAAAAGCATGGCAATCAAAAGGCAGACATAAGGGAGGGCCTGGAAGGAAAGCAGAGATAGGACCATGAGTTCAGAGGCAGATAGCTCCCAGGCTCCACACCCCACAGTCACCAGCAATACTGGAACTCTTGCCCTGAGGCTGATTTAAATGGGGGCGCTGGGACTCTCTATTCCCTGGGGCTGTGCTGTTCTAGAGTGCCATACTTTTGCAGATGTTCACGTCCTCTGACAGACAGGTAAGCTGCTGTCCGTGGAGAGGCTTGTCATTTACCTTCTGTCAAGAATATTCACTCACCCAGAAGTATGGCCCAGATCTCCAAGGAGAGCTGGGGAAACTTCCTGGGCTTGGGATGCATTCCAATTTGCATTGCAGAATATTAATAATGTGGGCAATTGTGATCAAATTACATAGTAAGCGCCTAGCTTTGGCTCCCAAATTCCCCTTCCCACTCCCTCACTCAATGCCAAGCCCCTGATGGAGAATCTGGGAGCAAAGTGAACGGGCTGAGAGTCTCAGTTGTTCATCATTTCGTAGAAGGCACCTTCATCTTCTGAGGAAACATCACCTTCTAGTGTTTAAGTCTCCTGACACTTCATTATGTGTCATGCAAAACTCCAAAAAGCCTTTCAAGTGTTAGCCACTGCAAAACCCTGCCATGAAGCCATGCGGCACAAAATTCCATATCGTGCAAGGTAACCGCCACCCTGGGATGATAACATTTCAATAAGGGGGGCAAGGGGCAAGTGAAGGAAATGTAAGATAGGGAACTGGCCTCTGGCTGGGGGAGGATATAGGGCAATTTGGTTTTAGGGCCAGAGTGGGTTCCATAATTCTGGGGTGATCCCAGTGCTGACATGGAAACCTCCCTCCTTTACCACCCAGTAAGCTCCATAGAAGACGATGCAACTATGAGTCTCCACTCTATCTTGACTGTGTGCAGCGCGAATCCCAGGAGATCAATTGAAGGCTTTCAGACTGCAAGGGTAGGGCTTATCAACAGAGCCAACTAAATGAAGAGCCTTGGGAGACTTTTACAACTTGAAAAAAGGATAAAATTAAAATGCAACTGAAAGTTGCCAGGATAATCCCCTCCCCGATAAAGTGCTGACTCCCAAGGTCTGTGAAGAAAAATGGCTTCATTTCAAGGGGCCATGTGAAGACTCCGTCTGCTGATAGAAGAAGGAAGGGAGATAGGTTTTTTACTGCTCGAGGTGCTGCTACCTTCTCCCACCTTCTGCTTACTTCCTGCCCTCATTCCACCTTCTACACTCCAATGTCTTCAGTCCCTAGCTCATCTCTCCCTACCCCCAGGTTTTGGAAAAAGATCAAAGATACATTCTGATTGCCTTTCTTATCATGCTATAAATTCTAACTCAAAACAAGGAAAAACAGGGAAGAATGAAGTAGGGGTCAGTGATGGAGAACTGGGGGCTATGCTCATGGCTGGTGGGGTGCAGGGGTGTGGCTTGGGTAGGCCACGGGGGTGCAGGTTATACTGTGTGGCTCCCTGCTGTGTATCTGCAGAGGCAACCTTTGTGAAGCTGACTTTAAGAAAATAATTTCTATACTGTGTACTGGGACTGTTCCAAAAGGGAAACACCTATCCATCATGGTGTCACCTGGAGGCAGATTCACCTTGTCTTCACTGTTCTATATTCACTGCAATAAGCCAACCACTTGGCCATCAAGTTTTGACATGCTTTTCATTGCCCTCAACAGTATGCATTTTTACAGAGAGCTGGTGAGCATGATAACGTGACAGGCTGACACGTATTTCTTGAGAGACTATCTGTAACTTGTTTGGAAGGTCTCTAGCAAAAAGGTTTTAGGAGTATTTCATGTATCAGATTCCAAATCCAAATTCACCTGAGACTCGGTAAATTCTTACTAAGGTTTTAGATTTCTCCTCTGTCATGTAGCTTTGGCAAAATTCTTTTCATTGAGGTGAGGCCTCTGTGGGAGTCATGACACCAAACAATTACTCTGGATATGATAAAAATGTCAAGGTTGCTTGTAGGAGCCTGAACATCCTTACAACTGGTCTCACATATCAAACCCGCAGGACCTCAACGGAGAATAAGTCAGTAATGATGGTGTGGGGTGAACACTTTTCCAAATGATGAGAAACTATTGTATTCACTGGCTGACCTTCTCTAGTTCAATTAAAATACATAAATAATTAAATTAAATAAAGGAGACAATTGGTAAATTCGCGATTCCTCAGCTTTGAATCAAGGTCATCAAATTTATTTTCAAAACACATTCATTGAAAAGCTTTTTTTAATAAGAGGAAAAATAGTAGGCATTTGAACAGCACTTAGACCCCCCAAACTTCAAAACAAACTATGATATCTGCTACAGCCTGAAGACATTGAAATCTGTTTGTAAAACTTCTTTTGCAGGAAGTCTCTGCAATTAGAGTGGATTTCAGGTCGCTTTTAAACTTCTATTTCTTATACATACACCTCTGTATGGCCCCATGAGACCATTTGAAGCAGCTCACTACATCAGCCTGGCCCAAACATCCTATTAGACTGTAGGACACAGAGGTGACCATGAACATGCCATACACTCAGTGGTTGAGGAAACACACTAACAAAGACAAGAATGGGACCGTATGAATCATCCTGCAATCAAACACAACTCAAGGAGTCCTTTGAAAAACTGGTCATGTGAAATTAAGCCATTGGCAAGTCCCTGAAAATGCAGAAGCTGGCTCCAGACACGGATGGATTGCTTGGAGCTTTTTGGACTATCTTCTCAGACAAGCCCTGGCCTCAGTCAACAGAGAAGATAAACGAGTTACAAAGTGGAGGTGTTTTTCTAGAATGACATTCTATCCAGTTAGGCACGAGCTGACTGTGGCCCAGCTAAGCTGCACTGTAACTGAGAACTGCTGTATTTATTGGATGCATCTGACAAACACTCATTCCTGGAGGTCAAGGGACCTGTGTAATGACACGCTGTGGCCCGGCAGTGTTCCATCTGATAAGACAGAGAGGAGGAGTTGATGCTGCTTACCTTAAAGGACTGCACAAAGGTCCAAAGTAAAATACGGATGGTGTAGCCCTGCCGGAGAAGCTTGATGAGGCGGGCGGCTCGGAAGAGCTTCAGAAAGCTCATGTTGAAGCCACTGGTGTTCACCAGCTGGTGGACCAAAAGGAAGCTCACAGTTAGTGACATTACGGTCATTTAGAAAACACTACACACTAGTATTTGCATATTTATCCCTCATTCAGATCATAAAATTGGACACAGATTCTGTCTTGTGTTTTCAACCCCATCTCCAACTGATGGGCCAGTGAGGACCATCTCTCCAAGCCCTCCCAGGCCTGCCCTCTATTCCCAGGTAGAAGGGTATGGGTAGTACCCCCAGAAGAGTGCCCAGCATGTGTCAGAGAAAACCAGCCTCTCTAGTCTTCCAAGGGGCTCTCATGGTCCTAACTGCACTTAGAAGCCAAAGAGGTGACCGAATAATCCCTCTAGCACATATGACGGTCATGCCCACATTCGATGAGAATTACAATGAGGTCTCCAAGTCTTCTTTAGGATAAACAGTTGTAGGGAAACGATTCAGGTCTAACAACTTTGAGGGCAATGATACTGTGCTTCTTTTGTCTCTCCCAAAGAATCTAGCAGAACACTGTGCACGCGAGGCTTCTTCCGGTACTGCCTATTGCACTGACCCCATTAGGTGGCTGCTGTTGAGTCATGCAAATGAACAAAACCTTCCACGAGACCCAGTGCCACTCCAGTGTTTGCAGCTCAGGAGTGAGGAAATAAGCTCCCAGCACTTAAGAGGGCTACACATTTGGTTCGATGAGCTAAAAATGGACTGTATGGGGGAGGTGCCTGGGTGGCTCAGCTGGTTGAATATCGGCCTTTGGCTCAGGTCATGATCCCAGGGTCCTGGGATCGAGCCCCGTGTCGGGCTCCCTGTTCAGCGGGAAGCCTGCTTCTCCCTCTTCCTCTGGCCCTCCCCCTGCTCATGCTCACTCACTCTCTCTCAAATAAATAAATAAATAAACCTTTTTTAAAAAATGGACTGCATGCACAAAGGATTTTTTTAATGCTACTTCAGAGCCAAGCTTAAAGACAAAGATATACGAGCCACTCACCTTACTGTCTGTCAGAATGATTTCTGTGATACTGCCAATCACCGTGATGAAGTCAAAGATATTCCAGGTGTCTCGAAAATAGTTCTGCCATGTGAATTCAGTCACGGGAGCACCAGAAAAAGGAGGAAAAGAAAAAGAAATGGAGAAAAGATATCTTTAATTACGTAAGTTTGTCACTTGGAATTAAAACTTGTCAATTCACGTACAAGAGCAATTCTAACTTTGGCTTTGTTTTCCCATTTCTAACAGGAAATGGTATTTCTTTACTGACTTGGGAATTTCTCATTTGGGAAAGGAGTCTTCTCACTACTTGAAGACCTCGTTTTTGTAGCTGTCACTAAAAAGCTACATAAAAAAATATGTAAGAAAGAGATCTGTGGCCAAGAATATTATAAAGTCAAAAAAAGGAAAGATCATCATTGTCACCTACAAGGCAATAAAATTATTTACCATATTACTCTAAGGTTTTCTACAACTTTTAAATTGTCTATATCATGTGACCCTATAATTATACAGTTCTGACGTTCAACTATTCACAGTGATGTCTTAAGTCTTTAAAGGCCAAAATAAAATTCACAGTGATATCTTAAGTCATTAAGGTCCAAAAGATGTACCAAAAATCTTCTCCTAACTCCACAGGGCGATAGGATGAATAGACTTCATCCTTCCCCTCTTTCTCAGCTCTGTTATACCTCTTGAGTAATAAAATGAGTGGGTTGAAGGAGATGGAGGAGAAATAAAGGACCTGGCAAATGCACCAGCCATGTAACAGCCTGCTTAACAGAGACAGTAGGTAGGTTCTGCTACCATCTCCACCACTCAGGTGAACACAGACCTTGGACTATATTCCTTAAAAGAAACAGGACACTTGGGTTTCCAAAATCACTGGCTTGTCCTTGGGCAGCAGCCCCCATAACAGACTCTCAGAGCACTGCTGAAGTCAACCCCCCCACCTTCACAAAGAGCATTAGTGACTTTTATAGTATGTGCCAGATAATGGCTAGGCCCTTGTGTTCTTTCCATTCGTTTCTCCCATGGATCCTATGGGTAGGTCGTGATCAATACCCTCAATACCCTATGTTCATAAAATACTCAGTAGCAGGGTTGGCAAGAAGAGTGGGCAGAGACACACAAATAGTGAGAGGAAAGGAGTATGGTGAGAGCAAAGCTTTCTTTTCTTTTTCTTTCTTTCTTTTCCTTTTTCTTTCTTTCTTCTTTCTTTCTTCCTTCCTTCCTTCCTTCCTTCCTTCCTTCCTTCCTTCCTTCCTTCCTTCTTTCCTTTCCTTCCTTTCTTTCTTAGAACGTGAGTGGGCGGGGGCGGGTAGGGGCAGAGGGAGATGGAGAGAATCTCAAGCAGACTCCCTGCTGAGCGTGGAGCACCACACAGGGCTTGATCCCATGACCCTGAGATCATGACCTGAGCCGAAATCAAGAGTCAGACGCTTAACCAGCTGAGCCACCCAGGCACCCCACTAGTGATCTTTAAGGAGCACCTACTCGGGGGACTAAAGCCTTGATGCCTTGGGTACACTGCTTAGCTAGGTACACACAACAAAGTATCTAAGGCTATAAGGCAACTATAGTGATCCTCATTTTGAATGACAAAGCTAAGGCTTAGAGAGGCTTGTCTGATTCCAAAGCCACCAGCACCTGCTGGGCATGCAGAGAAACAGGGCACACAGCCTCACAAATTCACTTTTCCATGAAGAATACCTACTTCCTCAGGAGTGGAACCAAGTCGAGTCTCAGAGTTCCTCAGCTCTCAGGGCTCTCCTATTTCCAACCTTGGCTAAGCTTCTTAATTCTTGGATAGGCCCCCATATAGTAGAGAGAACATGAATCTAGGTCTCAGAGGACAGGAGCTCTGGATTCCAGCTGAAGGGGCTTTATGATACAATATGGTTTAGAATAGCACAGTGTAGTGTAGACTAGTAGATTGCCGTGGACAGACTGTGCATTTCAAGCCAGATTAGATCAGGATCTGAATGCTGGCTCTGCCTTTTAGTAACCTTGGGCAAAGCACTGAATCTTCTTGAGCCCTAGCCCATCCATAAAAGAAACTGATAATGCCTCTCTAAGTAGAGCTGTTATGAAGCTAAAATGAGTAACATATAAAGAGTTTGGTACTTAATATGGCAACCAATGTTCATTCTCTCCCTCTTTTTCCTTCTTCCTTTTTTATTCCCATCCCACTTTCCATTTCTACTGCCTTTTATTCTGTCATCTTTAAAAAGCTACACAATTTTTCTGAACTTCAAGTTCCTCATTTAAATCAACATCAACAATGATAATGATGGCATCTGCCATGTGTATTTCAGAATCATTGAGAAGATCTAACAAAATAGTATACGTTAGGATATTCCGAAAACCCAGAGTACTATATCAATGTAAAGACTTATTTGGGAGTAGTGGTGTCTTTTATCGTGTGAAAATGCCTCTAGACCTTGAATGAAAATATGGAGGTGAGGGTGGGAAGGAGGCAGGCTTTGGAGCCGAGTCTAGTTAAGCTTATAAGTATGTATTCAGCGTTCACCGTAATTACTGCACAGTTGGGGACTTAAGTCACAGACAATGTCAATAGCATATGCAAGTAATCAAGATGCATAGAAAAACTTTCCCTGTTGTGGCACCAGCTTGTCCCTCCCTCTGCTCACCCTGCTCAGGGCTAGACTGTATTATAAAGGCATCTTTGTTGGTGGTAGTTTCTTTTTACTTTTTTATTTCCCCAAGTCTCAAAATACTCAAAGGGGAGTCAAGCGAGCAACAATGCAGCCACCTGCAATGGGCTCTCTTCAACTCCCCTCCCCAAACCATCAAGTTAATGACTTTTCAAAGAACCATTAGGAGACCAAAAGCAACCCCCACAATCAACACTCACAATTATCAAGCCCAGCCCAGAGTCCCTGCTAAAGCTGCTACCAGACAAACCCCTATTCGGATAATCAGCAAAGTTTCTTTTCTTGCAGGGAAAACCACATACACACATAACTTAAAATGGTAGCTCACATACTAAGTAAGGGTGAAACAGCCATCAAGTGGGGTTATCTGCATTTTACTGATCTCACTGTAAACGCTGGAACAAGGAGGGTGGTAGCAGAGAGAACTATTTTGTTTATAGGACACTGAAACCAAGGGCTAGGTTTGCTTAACACCATTGAAAGGAGATGCATGAATGTGCCAAGCAATTGTAATTAAGAGTTGAAGAGAAATAAAAGACTCATACAAGAAAAACTCAGCCCAACCCTCTTCAAACCTAATTCCAGCATACCTATCTACCAATTTACCTTTCTCTCCCTTTCTCTCTCTCTCTCTCTCACACCCTTTAATGGTCACAAGCCTTTGTAAGCTTAAGTAATAAACATTTATTTTTGTTAGCAGAAACTGTGCTTCATGTAACTAACGGGAGGAGGACAATTAGGTAAAATCTAGTATCTGCCATGTTTGAGGGTAAGAGGGACAGACATTTTCCCACTTGAATTATAAAATCTTATACCTTTTACCAGTAAATAAACACTCAAGGCTTATTAGTCCAAATTTTGTTTTGCTCCCTATTGACAAATAAATTGCAGTTCTATTAAGAATTCTGTCACCCCTCGACCACTGATAGAACCTGACAGGACCAGAGCTGATGGCTGGATGAGTATGGAGCTGGGGATCTGGTTTCCTTTGCCCTTTCTCCTAATACCCTCATGCATCCTCTTGTTTCTCGGGCAGTTTACTGAGCAGCTGAAACAGGCCCACAGTTAGGTCAGGTGTGTGAACCATTTCTGGAAGAGTGGGAGCCACTCCCCTTCTAGCAAAGGCTGGGAAGGCCTCCAGAAGGCAGGGAAGACAAGCGCGATGGTGGGGTACATGGCATGCCGTACCAGGAAGCCGAACGCGATGATCTTTAGGACACATTCCAGGGAGAACACCATGGTGAAGGCAATATTCAGGTACTTCAGGGCCAGTTCATAGGTACAGGGAGCAGAGTAGTACTGCCAAGAAGAGAAAAGAGGAGAAAAAGAATCAAACCCTTAAGGTGAGGGGGGATATTCCGTTGTCATCGAGGCTGGACATCTCTCATCCCTGCCCTTGGGGGACACTCTGGCGTGTGGTGTAGGAGGCACGACGGACATGCCAGCGAGGAGGACCATGCATCCCACACAGCAGAACAAGACAACACAGAGGAAACCACAGACCATGCCCTACGGTGGCTACTTATTAGCAAAAACAGCCAGTCTTCCTAAAGAGGAAGGTGAGAGGGACAGAAACATTTTCTTACCATTTATTATTAAATAAGATCACACCTCTTCTAACACTCCTTTAGAACTCCATGATCATGTAGATCTCCTGACATTTCCACTCTCGTCTGAATCTGATGGCCACCAGCACCCGGGGCCCTGGGCACTACTGGCCTGCTACTATAGGTCTCACTGCATTTTGCCCAGAAGGCCCAGAGGCTGGGCTGCTGAATGGGACAAGATCAAAAAGAGATTCCGCAGGAGAGAAGAAGGGAAGGAGGCAAGCGTCTGCCCGGTGTCTCAAGCCCTGGGAGGTACCGGGCCCCAAAGGCCCCATCTGCTGAGTGCCTCCCAGCCACCATGCCCTCACCTTCATCATCAGCACGACAGTGTTCAAGGCGATCATGGCCATGATGGTGTACTCGAAGGACGGGGACACCACGAAGTGCCACACGCGGTACTGGAAAGTGTGTCTGTTCTGCGGCATGTAGCGGGTGAGAGGTTTGGCGCTGATGGCGAAATCGATGCACGCCCTCTGAAGGAAAGTTACAGCTATTAGCCCAAGCTCAAGTTCCCTCACGTCGCCCACTGGTGGGCTCTCTGTCAGGTGGCTAGAAGAACAGGACAGTGCAGGAAAACATAGGCTCGGGCTGGACAAGCAAAAGGTAAAAAGGGCAGCAGGGATTATGGGGACAAAACTACTTGGTCCCTTTAAATGGGTACACAGAACTGGGCTAGCACATGGGATGTGGACTTCATGGTGATTAGTGATGTCCTTTACACAGGCTGCAGCCAACATGAGCAGGCAGGAAGCCTTACCCGATGCCCTCGGTCAGATGTAAAAATCTATCTCCCTGTGCGTTCGCATAGCACTGTATTTGAATTTCTCTCATAGTCTCAAACAGTTTCTGTTCCATTCCATTACAAAAATAATGAACCCTACAACGTGCCAAAACTATGCTTGTTACTAGAAAAGCTGCAATAAGCAAGCCATATCCCTTATCCTTACAGCAAATACATACCACAGAAGGACACAGCCGGGTAAGCAAATGTCTTAATGTTGTAATTTTGGTACACATCTTTTACTGCCACTTCTAGACTATTCACTGCTTAAAGGTAGGGACTACATCATAAACCTTCCAGTTCTCTGTGCCTCATACCTAGGTCTTAAAAGAGCATATGTTCAAAAAATATTTAATGACTGAATAATTAATTTTTCCCATCTTCTGTCATTTTTAATAAAGTTAAGACAATTCAGTCTTCCTTCCTACCACTGCGGTTCCAAGCATCCTTTCTGGAACCCCTGCACTCCCATGCTCTAGACCACTTGTTTTTACCTCGTTCTTCTCCAGGCTGCACTCCTCCATCATCTTGTCCCCTTGCTCCTGGAAGGTGATGATGATGAGAGCCACAAAGATATTGACAAAGAAGAAAGGGAAGACCACAAAGTAGACCACATAAAAGATGGACATCTCCATGCGGTTGCTGCGGCTTGGTCCTCGGTCTTCCTCTGTCACATCAACAGAATGCTGTAAGACTCTGTAGGGACAGAATGAGGGGGCATGGATGGTGGACGGCAATCTTGGCAGTGGCCCTGACTTAAGGCTTCGTTAGGAGATGTGCCACTTATTATATTTTCTCATGTGGCTTCCCTGACTTTGAAGATCCACCGTAATTTTTAGGGTCCATAACCAAGCTGGTGAAGATACAGTGATCCCCAGTCCACTGCCCTTTCTAAGCCCTGTCCCATCATGCATCCAACTGCTAAGAAAGAGTGACATTATTTTATATCTTAGGTTGTCATATTTAATACCAAGAAATGCCAGATGTCTATTTGGCATTTTACCAACTAGGGTATGCCGCCACCAGAAAGTGGGGTCTTAGTAATTGCCAAGTCTCTGAAAAATCAGCCATCGGCAGCCTAAGAAACTGCATTCTAGGGGCGCCTGGGTGGCTCAGTCAGTTAAGCACCAGATTCTTCATTTCGGCTCAGGTCATGAGATCGAGCCCCTCATTGGGCTCTATGCTGGGCGTGGAGCCTGCTTAAGATTCTTTCTCCCCCTCTCCACCTCTGCCCCTCTCCCACCCCACTCACACTCTCTCTAAAAAAAAAAAAAAAAAGAAAAGAAAAAAGAAACTGCATTCTGTTGTCTTCTTCATGACAGGTATGATCACAGAAAGGGTCTCTGAGTTCTTCCAGCTCATTCTCTTTCTCTTTTTTTTTTTAAGTAGGCTCCATACCTACCATGGTGCCCAATGTGGGGCTTGAACTCATGACCCTGAGATCAAGAACCGAGCTGAGATTAAGAGTCAGATGCTTAACCAACTGAACCACTGAGGTGCCCCTCTTCCAGCTCATTCTTAACCCTCAATCCTCAGGTGAAGGGCCAACTTGGAGGATAAATATGTCTAAAACCATCCCCAGAGACTAAAACAATAAGAGTTGCAAATATTTCTGACTTTGTTATCTCCCTCTTGATTTTTGCCTTAAGGCTTTTCATTCCTCCTCTCTTCTGCCTGTCCCGCCCACTCATAACCACTTATTTTCCCTAGGAGAATAACAAAGGGTCAGCCTCGTTTATCTTGAATAAGCTTCTCAAGGCAACCACGGGGTCCTATCCCAGCTCACAGACAAGCATGCCAACTCAAACCCATCACTCACTGAGGCCATCCTTCCCCTGTGGAGACGGTGAAGAGGGTCAGCAGGGCCCAGATAATGTTGTCATAGTGGAATTCATGGCGCTTCCATTCCCGGCCTTTCACCTCCATCTTGTTTTTTTCATGATCTACATAGTTGCCTCTAAAACCAGAGTACAGATGAAATAGGGCCTCTTCACTATAGCTCGTGGGAGAGGAAGGAGATTCTACAAACTTCAACAATGTGGCTGAGTAATAATCGGCATACAGATGTGAGGAAGAAAGCAGAGCCTTATCAAAGGCAGTCTATGATTGTGGGATAAAAGTTGTATTCGGTGCCTAGTAGACATGGAAGATTAAATCCTAATCCTTTTACTAGTCACCGTGTGTAACCGTCACCATGTGTAACCTTGAGCAATTTAAACTTTCTGAGCCTCAGCTTCCACATCTAGAATATGTAAATGAAACCTATCTCAAAAGGTCACTGCAAAGACTTAAAGTGAAAAACTGGGTGTAAAATGCCATGTACCATGTCTGACACAAAAGAGGTGCTCAATAAAAGTTTAACAATTTCCTATCTTGCCTTTTTCCTAAAAGAAGAAATGTGAGAGAGGTAAGAGAGAAAGCGAAGAGCTATGTGTGGAGGGCTGAGCGGGCATCACCGGAATACGTGTCAGAGAAGGTGAGCAGCGCGTGCTGGTCGCACTTACATGCACTCCTTCTCTGTGTCTTTGGAACTGTCTGTGCAATAAAAGAATTTTCCCTTGAAGAGCTGGACTGCAATGACAGCAAAGATGAACATGAAGAGCTTGTAGACAATGAGGATGTTGAAGACGTTCTTCAAGGAGGTCACCACACAGTCGAAGACAGCCTGCAAAGAGAAGTCAAAAGCCCTGTGGGTCCCCGGAATGGCCTGTGCCTTTGCCTAGAGCTGAGTGAGGGCCACATCACCACCAGCCAGCCCCACATAGAAGGTGCGCCTTACTAAGAAGTGACACGCATGGGATTCAGAGCTGGCTTCCAAGCCGGTCATGACTGCAAGAATCTACCACCTGGAAGGGCACACGTGCTCTGAATCTGAAAGCAAACCCAAAGCAGTAGAAACCAAATGGCAGCAGGCAATGCAGGGAGTCCTTTGTGGGCTCCCAACAGGTGTACTCCAATTAGCGGGAGGCACAGAAATCTATTGCAGAAAGGGATCTCTGAGAACATTCAGCCCTTTCTGGCCATTAAATGGCTTGTCCCTAACCCGACATCTATTTGGTGACATTCTTAGATTTGGTTTATATACTGAATATGTATTGTTTTTCTCTTTACCGTTTTAAATGGATCAGAGAGTAAATTATTACTTAGTATTTAATGATACTTGGAATAAATTCCTACATTCGCTCCAAGTATGTTCAACACTTCATGTAAATGTTTTTAGCTTAAGGCGGGCTGTGTTGGGGATGAAGATTCAATAGGTGGTGCGGGTGGGGATGGGGAGCTGCCTTCTCATAGGGTAGGGGGACGGGGTGGGCAGAATCAGAGACTTGCTCTCCAGTTACAGGCCATGGGTGTCCCTCTGCAGAATCCTGAGGGGTTACACAGGAATTCAACACATTCCAAGCCATTTTTAGGTTATTTTCTAGGTTTTTAGATTTAGCTCACTGGAAAGTGGTGCCCCATGGTGGCACTGCATTTGTGCCCCTGCACGTTTGTGCAGTTGCTTCGTCACAGTGCTGGATGAACAGCACTGGTTTAATTAGTTCAACACTGCAGGGAAGGTGAGCAGCCCGCAGCCTTACAGATTCATCAGAGCCACCTATACTTGCCTCAGGTTATGGAGCTGCAGAGAGCGTGAGAAGCCAGAAGCCAGCACTTCCTAATTAAATGGAATTAACCAAGGGTGCGGTTGCACTCTCCAGCCTGTTAACTAATCTCATCATGCTGTCTGCAGTCTCCTTAGGACCCCAGCATAGCTCAGAAGAAAGGAGACCCCTAGGGCCTGGGCTGCAGCTAACAATAGTGGTTAGGGCCCCAGGCCCCCTGGCAGAAAGGAGTATTTATGGGCACGGACAAGGCCTGGCACTACGATGGTAGAGGGTTGTAAGGAACCTGGAGACTGGGCTCAGGCCCTGCGCTGTGGCTCAGTCGGCTGGCCCTGTGGCCTGGGGCAGCAGTGAGCGGACCTCTGGACTGTGAACCGGGAGTCCTGGTCCCTCCCTCATGGTGGCAGGCTGTCGCTCAGGAATTCAGAGGAAGAATTTTTCCCCCATGAAGTTTCAGCTTCCGTTAATCGCAATTTATGTGTGGGGGGAGGGGGCGGGGGGGAAGGAGGGCTCATGTTAGCAAACTGGGCTTGAATGGTAAAGCACACCTTGAGGGCAGGTGCCCCAGGAGGATGGAGCAGGGAGGGCATGGGCCAGAAAAGAGGAGAACCAAGGTAATATAGCTATGAAAGCGCAGGTCCTGGCAACAGGAAAAACTCAATTCACGTTAGCTTGCTTCCCCATTCTCTGCTTCTGCCAAAAATGACTGTGTTCTTGGGCAAGTTACCGACCAATCTATGCCTTAAAAATATGAAGGGTCAGGGCTAGAAAATCCTTTCCTTCTCAAGAATTATGAGGGAAGAAAGCATCCCAGGTTACTCAGCATGATCTAACGTGTAGCCCACAACATAGAGGACTCCTGCCACTTCCATTTTGTTGTTCTGAGTGCACCTAAATGACACAGGGTTCTTTCTGGATGACATGCCACAGGCAGAGTATATACAAAATACCACCTGGGGCTGGACTCAAGAAGCCAAAGCCCCCTTATAGATTTCTTGGCCCATTGGTTATTTTTCTTTGAAATGAAGGCCTTTAACTCAGGCATTTGAAAGAACCCCCGTCTCTGTGTGAGCAAAAGGAATATTCCCAGAAATGATCCTCCAAAAGCAGGCTGATCACAGCTAAAGACAAGATGGGAGAAGGGGCCTCGGGAAATGTTACCTTGAGCTTGGGCAAGCGCTTGATGGTCTTCAGCGGCCTAAGAACTCGGAGGACCCTCAGAGATTTGATGGTCTTGATGTCTCGCCCCTTGTTTGTTCTGCAGCGGGGAGGCCCCCAGAGGTCAGAGGACAGGGGGAGAAATGAAAGTGGCATTCATACGACTGCATTAACAACAGGGTAAAAGGGGAGACGCTTAGGCAAGAGACCAGAGATTAGGTCAGAGTAGACTCCCTTCAGGATAACCCCACAAAACATGCTCTGGGAAAATTTTCAATTCACTCCCCAGTGTGCACACACTCCTATGCACGCACACCCACGTGTCCTCACACAGAGGAACACATGGGCATGTACCCAGAGGCATCCATGCATGTACGGTAATGAACGCTTCCTCTCCCCACCGGCTGGAGTAATGTGGCTCATTACCACACCAGCAGAATGCAAATGGAAGACCAATCGACTAGGGAACATGACTGGCAGTCCACTCTGGATCCCCACTGTGCCTGCTCTGGTGCTTCTTCAGTAGCAGGCTCTCAAATGATATTTGTTGAATGGGCTAGGAAACCCCGGTTGAAAGCAAGTCTCATCAGGGGACTTGACCTAGTCCTTTCTTTGGCTCTAGGTTTGTCATCCCTGCAGAGTTCATTAGTTCAGGGGAGAGCAGGGTGAGGAAGGGCACTGGGGACATGACACTCCTGCTGTGTTGGCTACCGCTTCCAGAGAAAGCATGTCACGCGGGCTTCTTGCCAGGACCTTGGCTCACACCCCAGTTATCTGTGCATGGCTGGCTCTTTCTGCAGTCCCTTCCCATCTGAGACACTCTATACCTAGCACAGGCTGTGGAGAGCCAGAGAGTTGGAGAAGGCCCAAACTGCAGGCCCTGCCCACCTTTATCCTTGCCCTTCAGCTCATGAGCGTCCCTATTCAGCCGCTTGGAAACGTTTGCTCCTAATAGATAAAATACACTTCTCTTTTTATTTTCAGGAATGAAATGAATCAATCAACCTGCATTTCTCTCTCCACCCTGCTTATCCCCTGAGATCTTTGCATTCAATTCAAACAATTGCAATTTGTAAAAGACACACACAGATGGTAGGAAATAAGACTCTGAAGAGTGAGCTCAGGCTCTGGTTCTTTCCTCCTGTTGGTTCAGAGTACCATGACACCAACAGCCCGGGGAAACAGGATCCAGAACATCAGATGGGAACTACAAGGGCTTCTGCCTGCTTTTTACCTTGTCCTTCCTGCCATACCCACCACCCACCCTCTGGCAGGGAGATAAAAGATCTATGCTTCCACAGAAGGCGAGGTAGGAAGACATTTACTATCATTCAGGGAATGCTGGCTTTGCCCAGAATGTGAATTTAAAGACCCTCTTAATGGCTGTAGGCCATGGCCTATAAGCCACTCTTATTCCATTCGAGCTCCGGATATAGATAATCCAAGAGTACTGCATTAGAAGGTCGTTTGCATCCAGGGGTTCTGTATATTTTATAAACTCTTTTACTGTATTACATTCATATATCTACCTACCTAAAAAAGGCAACTTCCAAGCCAAATACATACCCAAACCAATGTAAATGATCACTTCCCAAGAAGGCTTGGCGACTCCTAATTTTTGTTCTCTTGGATGTCAGTGAGAACTTACCATTCATATACACTGACCAGTCCTTTTTCAGTGGGCAGGCTCCTTCCCTCCCAAATGTACTTGCACCCTCCTCCAACCCACTTCCCGGATTCTTTACTTCAAAGAAAAGTGAGAACAATATTTACCCCAAAGCGTTCCTATGGAGGATCCAAGCAGAAAGCAGTTAAAAAAAAAAAAGAGGAAGGGGGGTGGAGAGAAGGAAACAGTCAGAAAACTTCAGGGAGGACAGGAAACTGTACAGTGACAGGGAATTGGACAAGCACAGGCCCAGGAGATCCCGCTTACAGCCTTGGCACTTGTCGAGTCCACACGCTTTGTGAAAGGAAGGACCAGCGCACCATTTGCTCCACACCCACCTCTCCAACCTGCAAAGGCAAAGGCCCTTTGCAAGCACCAGTGAAACTGCGTCTAACCGGATGGCATTCCCCATATTGTGCTTGATTTCATGGAGCCCAGTCTAGTGATGTTTCCTAAATAGAGTCTTTTACTTCCATTTCCTTAGTGGTCTTCAGACAAACTCTACTTCCAGTGAATTTATAAGAAACCAGGAGAGAGGAATTAGGTCTGCTCTGGGCCATAAATTCCGTTAGGCAAGGCATTTCACGTCACAGTGGCGTACCTACGCTTCCGAAGGATTTCATCTGCAATGGGGCACATGACCCCTCTGACAGGGATAGTAGGACACCTCTTAAAAGCATGGATGAGCAACACCATAAAACCACCTCAAAATATGGGGGAAGGCATTGTGTATCAAGGTCCTGATGGCACATAAAGGGATGCCCTTTGATAAGTTAAATGACCAACTGTACATCATGAGCTATTTACTGTGCAGCTCAGAGAAAAATCATCCCAGCTCTATTTGGAGGCTTACCAATAATAAAAAGGGTGAGAGCATAAATATGAAATATTTGAGATTAGAAATAATGAGAGCTAACTTTCTGCATATTTCCTCTTGGCTAGACTCTATGCTAAGCACTTTTAGTGCAACTCTTTCTTTGGACCTTCTAATAACCTTAGGACACATAGCTATGACTATCCCCATTTCACCAGACATGATTCAGAGAGGCTAAGGAGTACCTAGCATTAGCAGGGTGAGCTGGGCCTTGAAGCTAAGACCATACGATGGTCGGAGCTCTTGCTCTATACCGCTAAGCCTCGGCAGCAGAAGGTTTTGGTTCCAGGCTCTGTCAAACCAAATTCTAGAGCTGGAAAAGATCCCTGAAATCCACTTAACTGCATCCCCAGGAAGATGTGCCTTGCATGAGATCCCTCCGTGAGTGAGCCACGGTAGAACCATTGATGAATCCACCTTCAGCCATGTAGAACTGTCTAGAATTCAGGCTGTGGTTCCCAGTTGCTGGTTGCTGGAAAGGGTACTTTTTCTCCATCCTTAATCTTTTTAATGTAACACAAACCTACATTACACCACTCTATGTCACAAGCAAAGACTTCTCATGATTATTTTACTCAGTAAATGATCTCATATTCAAAATTACATTCATTTTCACAGTAATTGCCAAATTAATGGTGATTTGGGATCAAACCCAAGGCTTTATAAATCTTAAATCCCTCGTGTGACACCCTCTGAGTGTTCAGAAGGCAAAGATAGTATCTTTCCCTGAGTTATAACAGTGCCTTCTCATGCACGAGACTGGGCACATGGTGAGTAGGCCAAACGCACCTTTATCCACTCATATCACAGCACTGATGGAGTCTTTAATATACGCCAGGCACTCTTTTGGGTGTGGATATACCACCGTGAGTAAAACAAATGGCGTCCCTCACTTCTTGAAACTTACCAAGTCTAGTAGGGAGGAAAGACCTCAAGTAAACAAGCAAACCAATGAAAGTATAATCGCAAGCTACGTGCCAGGGGAAAAATGCAAACATTTGATTGAAAATTTCCCCAAAACAACTACATAGGTCACCTTCCTTTCCCCAGGCTACATTCATCTTGAGGGAAAGCTTAGGGAGAACATTCCATATCCCTAAAATGAGAGAACAGAGTAGGATCAATAGATGGGCAGGTGATTTAGGGTGACACACTCCAGGCTTTTACCTGTTGCTTAGCCCAGGTCCTCAACTCTGAGACCTTTACATCCAAGAGCATCTGAACGGGTTCTCAGAGGTTCATACTCACAGATGCCCATTTTATGAAGGAAGGCCCCAAATTTCTTGCTCTTCCCACACACCTGGATAAAGCACAGAATTTGTTCTCTATAATTAATTTTGCCCCAGGATCCTACTAAAATATTCCGCTATGGAACAAAGAGCATCTGACCCCATTGCTTGTATACTTTGTGTGTCCCTTGTTTTGGAAAATGGGGTTCCTTAATAGCACACTCTGATCTCAACAGCTGATTGTGGCTGCCAAAGTACAGCAGAGGTGGGGGGGACATTTGTCCCCTGCTGACTCCCACAAAGTTGAGCCAGGGATAGTAATAAGACAGAGGCCCAAAGCAAAATAAAGATTAGTCATTGCTCTGCACATTTTTCAAACAAGTCCCTCATAGCAGAGGAACCACTGAAAAGCTATGATTTTGAGTGGTTGTAGAAAAACACACTTGGTTCTCGGGTTTGTTAACATATGTTCAACACGGATTTGAAAATTGCCATTTGAAATGAAAGGAACACCAGATAACAAAGCCACGGTGTCCAGAAAAGTCTTGACAGCTTCGCCCCAATATTAATTTTAATATTAAAATATATCACAACTTACACATATGCTAGGCCAAACTACCTTTCCTGAATCCATGCACAGGGGAGCTATTTAAGCCATTATCAAAGTCTACACGATTACAAGAGAAACGTTTTATCAAACCAAGAGGACAAACTCTTCACTTTAATGGAGGCATATTATTTTTGAAATAATTCATGTGTTTTACAAATCATTTAAATATAATCACTTGATAACACTTTGTTAGTCTTTGCTACTCTATGTAGAGTCAGAATTTTTTTTACACTGCCTAACTAATTAGTGAAATTTATCGGGTTTAAAAATTGACTCTAATGTTAAAATTTGAGGATAATTTCGCATGCTAGGATGTACTGGTCCGCCTTTAATTGGGACTTAACTGGGCCACTCATTTTCCCATTTATTTCCTACTTATTTGTTATTTGGTAAGATCCCGGCTGCTCTACAAAAAAAAAAAAAAAAAAAAAAGCCACATTTCTCTTATGTCTCATCAGTAAAAGATGAGAATTTTCCAGCTCAATTGTCAAGTTGCCCTCCAGATCTTTCATATATAATCACTCATCATTCACTGTAATCTCGCTCCTCAGCTTCCAGGTCCCCCCTTTCTCAAAGGACATGCTCTCACATTGATTTCTTTCTTTCTTTTTTTTTTTTTAAAGATTTTATTTATTTATTTATTTGAGACAGAGAGAATGAGAGACAGAGAGCACGAGAGGGAGGAGGGTCAGAGGGAGAA